TATAGCCGTTAAAACTTTAGAGCACCTCCAACCGGCAGTGCAAAGTGCAAAAAATAGAGGGTTTAGCTTTTACTGTAATCAAAAGTGGTCTCCAATGGATAGTCTATTTTTTACACTGTAGTCTATATTTGGTTTTTCATCATCTATAAATAGACTACACTGTAGATCATTTATATCCTTAAAAATTTGTTTTCTTACTTTTAAATAAATTCTAGTACTCTGTACATCATCTTGTTAGCTCCCCCCCTTCCAACCACTGACATTTGTTAACCAATGGTTCCTATCTATCTTCTGTCAATCTTCCTTCCATTGCTCTTCTTTGTGAAGTTCTTCAATTAACTATATATAGATCTAATTTCTTCTTTTTCAGTTAACTACTCCGTATTTGGTTGCTAATTTTTGAGAGAAAAGTGGATGATGAGTTTTCAGTCTTGCATAGAACCTGTTTGATGAAATGTCCAACCAAATAATTAGGGAGCAAGGAGTATTATTATACGAGAAGTCTAAATTATACCTGATATGATTGGAAAGTAACAAGAAATTTTGAAAGCTAAAACACTATGTATAAGCTATTTTAACTTATAGCTTGCAATTTTATCCACTCTCCATTGGAGATGCTCTAATACGGAGTATATCTCAAAGACCTATCTCCTATAACACGAGTGCTCATATTGCTGGATTTCTTTTATCAAGACTAAAGATGAGTCACTAATTACTACTAGCAAAAATTAGGAGCTCTCTTCTTTTGACATTGAGAGCCCATGTAATATGACATTGACTCTAATTGGAGAACTTATGGTGTCCCGTTCATAAAATTGACGGTCGGTTTCTACCTCATACCCCCACCCCCCGAGAGTAAATCCCTCATATCTGGCCTAAACCGAACCAACCATCCCACCCCCTTCATTTCCAGCAGCCATGAACTCATGCACTTAAATAGGAGTAAAAATACAGTAATACACATGTTCATCATTCCAGTGATTGCTATTATTAAACAATCTTACAGGTTTAGGAAATCTCTTCCAACACACAACACAATGCCATGAATCTCATCACTACAATATTTTGGACATAAAAATTAAGGTAGCTTTGTCACCTCGTACTCATGCGAAAGCTTAAGAGGCGATTCCTTAGAAACAGGCCTTTCTTCTGACCAGAGCTCTAAATTAACTGTCCCCCAACCCCAATGCACCATACATTTCTTAACTTGACCAACATTGAATCGGTTCACCAAAGATAAGCCAAGGCATTTGTCCACAAGCATCCATTCTCCTATACCAAATCAGAAAATGATCTTTCAATAGGGCATTAGAAAAATGTTGTTTTTGTTTTGTTTTGCCTTGGAAAGTGAAAGACGATTTTTTTTCTTAAAATGTTTTACATGTTTCACATTTTTCCTTCCAGTACTACCCTCTATTATCCACCATAGTTTCTTTCCTTGGTAGTTTCCAGGTTCCAAACGGTCAAGGATTGAAGATCAGAAAACAAAAAAACACTCACCATTTGGGAGAAGATCCCCTTCAAAGATTTGCTGCTCACCAGATTGTGGCCAGATTTCATGCTTCGACCCATTAACACATGTAAAGGACACATATGTTTCGGTTGGGTGAAGCAGTGTAAACATTGGATGTATACGCAAGCAGACGAGCCTATAAGACAACAGTGAGAATGAGAACGGTGTCTATGCAAAACCATAACAGAGTTTTCTTTAACTCTCCACTTCAACAAATGCAAGTTAAATGTGAAATATGAATAAAGAAAGAACCTAGAAAATCCTCCAGAACCAGCTCCCACATTACTGGAAACAATGCTAGAGTCGATCCGGAAAACCTTAGGGTCGTTCTTTGGCAAAGATATGCATCGCTCCATGACTAACCCCCCACCAATATCTCCTCGTAAGGCAAGAGATTCGACTTCTCCTGCCTGCTCTACATCACTTCTGTAAGAGAGATCCCATATTCTTAGTATAATATATAATAATGAACTGGAAACACTGATATATGATATTGCAGGCTTTTCAAAAACGTGTAATTCATAGAGCCTCAAATGGTCTAAATGAATAGTATTATCTCATGTGAAACCATCTCTGGGTGAGAAAACCGTGACCCCATGAGAAGCAAAGACTAATTGGAGAGCATTTCGGCAACAATACTTATATTAAAAAATATCCCCATTGTTCAAAAAAAAATAAAATATCACCAACCTTTGAGCCGGGTTATTCTACCCCTGATAATGGGTTTAGAGTTTAAAACTTTAGGAATAGTAAACCTTTAGGAACGAAAACACTTCGGCTTCTAAAGCGTAAAATTTTACTTGCAAGTTGTCTCAACCCACGCAAAAAAACCAGTAGTGTCTAACCAAAGAATATTACGGAGTATCAGATTTGAGTCATGGTGAAACAGTAATACAAATTCTTGCAAGTTGCAACCAAATTAACTCAGGGAAACATGACATTTGTAGTAATTTCATATTAATGAATGAGACTATCACAAATCTCCTGATAAAAAGTTATTTTAAGAAGGCTGCAGAACTCACTCAATGACAGAATACTCTTCTGTGCACCCAGCAGACCTGTACTCAAGGCTACTATATTCTTCGTACCCGTTTATATCTACTCGGCTGTGAAGCCATTGATTTCCTGCCAGAGTAAAAAAGGCAAAAAGAAATCAAGTATGAAAAATGTTACGGTCATATCTACAATTAGTATGTTTATCCCTCGGACCACATGCAAGCAAATAATTTCATAAATTACTGGAAATTTCAAGTATGAAACACTGTCAATACAAATGAAAAATATAGAATTATAGATGGAATGTAGCATTTAAAATGATTGATGTGACTACTTTATTACACATCTAATCTTCGTGATAATGAATAAACAACCCTTTCAACTAATGAAGAAAGAGAATATCCAAGTGATGGTATAAATTACCGGAAGGAAGATGCTCCATGTATACTATTCTACCACCAATCCACGGAACCAATTTCAGCTCCCACTCCCCACCTTTCAACACAGCCGGTACTCTTGCAAGTTCAACGCCCCTTTCCTTACAGACACTATTTACATCTGGGATACGTTTTGCTTTTTCTGAAAACAAAAATGGGTTTTAACCATAAATTTAGAATTCACTACAACTGACAAAAACAAGTCCACAACAATAATAACAACAACTACAAAAAACCCAATTGAGTGGGTTCTGGGAAGGGTAAGTGTGTGTAAACCTTGCCCCCTGCTGGGAAAGTAGAGAGGCTGTTTCGAAGATTTAGATACAACTGAATTTATTTATTAAAAAAAGAAGAAAACATTTTGGGGCGGTGATATGGAACAGCAGCTCTACCCATTCTAAGCTGGTAGTTCTTTTGACTTGCTGATATCAAACCAGACACAGCATTCTCCGGTGGCATTGATATTTTTATCGTCTCTCCATCAGTACCCCATGCATCAAGCTGAAACAATGACACACAGGAACAAAGCATGATGGCAATTCAAAAAAAAAGGCATCAAGCATGACCCAGACTTCACAAGCTCAAGGGTAATCATACCATAGCCCCTTCACCAAGTAATAGCTTTACATGTAAACGGCGCTTTGGCCTTATCCATGATCCTTGAGTGTTGGCTACCCTCAAGGTAACAACTGAAGACAGAAGTTCAGCAATATAGGTTGTCAAAAGGTATCCGCCATTGGTATAGTCATATCCGTCACCATCATCTTCATAGTGAAAACCTTCTGCTCTACCTGCACCAAAGATAACCGATTTAGATAAAATGATTTTATTTTCCAGACACACTTCTCATTCCACATACATAAAAGATGAGTTACTATTACATATGCATATAGTGTGTGTAACCACCTTTACTAGTAAGTTCAATAATAACTATTATGAGAAGGTTACCTTGTTCATCAAGAGCCACAAGAAGAAATAAATCATCTGTAGGGTTAGCTTCACCAACATGCTGATATGGAAGACCTACAGGAATAATTGATCCACCTCGAAGGTATAACGCTGGTAAATCCTAAAATTTCCAGATTGAAAGAAATCACAAAAACAGGATATGAAAATATGTAAGGATCATTTCGTAATAAATGATCCCCTCCGTCCCAATATAAAGTTCATAGTGGGAAGTGACATGCTTATTAAGAAACTGCAAATGCGAGGTTAAGATTTCTTTAAAAAGAGGTAAAACATCAACCGCACAATTCTTTCCTTAAAATGAAAGTGATGTTTGGTGTGAATGGTAAAAAAGGAAATAGTCATAATTTTATAAGAATGGAGAATGTCTCTAGTAATATCCGGGGTACATTATTAGTGGGACAGAGTATGTTTCTAGTAATAACTACCGGATGTGAATCTTCAAAATCAAAGCTTAACCATATGCCGTTTGGCAGTTTCCTCTGAACTTGGTCCACCTCCTTATCATGCTCCGTACTGCTTAAAGCCAGCATACCATTAGTGTCGTTACACTATACAAATAATATGTATTCCATGAAAGCATTTGTTTCCCAAACAAATTAAATGTTGAGACACAAACAAGGGAAACTGTGAAATATTATAAAAAAGAAGAAACAAAACAACGTGAATGTGAAGAAATGTTTAACCTCAATTGCATTACGACCCATGTATATAATTCCTCCGTCCATAGACTAAGTTTTTAGTTTGACTTGACCTTCATCCACATAGAAAATAATTGCATTTCCCAGATAAGAGTAATCAATCTCACTGCAGATCAATCCGAACTCGCAAACAGAGCTGGATTACCCAAACCATGCTCATGAAGATTGTTCAAGGTCATAAAGTGAGTGTCAAATTTTAAATACTAAATTACTACTAATCTCCTCTTGAGCAATGAATCCTCAAGGTTTCTCCATGTTAACTTACTCTTGCTGGTCACCATGAAGGAAAAGATTCTTGATGTTAAGTTGTAACAGTGGCTAATGACTCATAGCGTGAATTAGAGCTGGACACGGTCCCGGTACCGGCGGTACGGAATTGGTACCGGCGGTTCCGCCACTGGGACCGACGGGAAGACAGTACACATTACCAGTACCGGAACCGGTCGACACGGTACCGGGTCCGGTTCTCATTTTTCGTGACCGGAACCGGCGGTACCGGTTCCGGTAAATTTTCGATTTTTTTTTCTTCCTGAAAATCAAGTATTCGTGGGCCATGTGGGGAGTCTCCAACGGCTATATAGCCGTTTGGAGCCTTGGAGGGGGGGGTGGGGGTAGGGGTATTTTTTCCTATAAATACCCCTCTAATATTTTTTTTAATTCACTCATCAATCTCTCTCATAAATCTTAATCTCTCTTAATCTTTTCTAAATTCTATCTTTTATAATTTATATTTATACATTTTATATTTATATATATTATATAATATAAAGATATAATCATATATATTAGTATATTACTAATATATTATATTATTATATATTAATATTATAATATATTTCGAATTTCGAATATATTAGATTATTAATATTATAAATTTATCACTACCTCCGAATATAATATTATATTATATCACTAATATATTATATTATTATATATTTATATAAATATATTAAAATGTGGTCCGTAGATATGGGTGTTGTGAACCGAGGACATTCTAACAAAGGCAAAGGTATCGCCACCTCCGAAGAATCGAGCTCACGTGCTTCTCAAGGAAGACACTCTGTCTCATCCTTTCCTACTATCCCCCAACAATTCATAGACGACGCTATGACTGATCAACAATTCGACCAGTATTTGGGAGGTAGGAACAACGTCAAATTTCAAACTCTTGAAGATATATTCGAGGATGTTGAAAAGGAGGTGGAACCAACACCTGAGAACAACAATCCTACTCACGAGGAGGGACGTGAGCCCAAGACCTTTGAAGGTTCGGGGAAAGGTAAAAAACATAAATCTGAATTATTTGTACTCCATTTTACTAAAGATATAAAAAATGGCAAAGTTTTTTGAACTTGTGTTAATTGTGGGCAAGTCATAAAAATGGGAATTTCCGGGGGTTATGTTGGACCGACCAAACACCTCCGAGCGAGGTTCATGGCGAAGAAGGGACAAGTGCAGACCCAAATTTCTCGATTTGCAAACAAGGGTAAGGACCGCCTTTTTTCTTATAGCGATGAGAAAAATAAGCAAACATTGGTCGAAATGATTAGTGAGGAAAATTTACCATACTTGTTTTCTGAAAAACTTGGATTTATTGATTATTGTCAAACCGCACCAAACCCTCAAGCAAGAGGTTTTTCAAGAAAAACAATTGAGAGAAAAATTATTAGACAATATAAAGTTGAAAACAATAATTTGGCAAATTTTTTTCTCACTTTTAATTCTCGTGTTACTATTTGTTCTGATATTTGGAGTGAAAAATATCATAATCTGTCTTATATGGGTGTTACTTGTCATTGGATAGATAGTGATTGGATTATGTATGAACGTGTTCTTGCATTTTGTGATTTCAATGAATCTCACACTGGTGATAATATTTTTCTTTTGCTTGAGCGTATTCTCCAAGAATACAATTTACTCTATAAAGAGTTTGCATTTGGTTTTGATAATGTTACTAATAATACTGCTGCCATTATACTAATAATGTTACAATTTACTTTAGAAGTTTTTAATAATGCAATTCTTACTTTCTCGCATGTTTACAAACCTACGACAAACAGATTTTTTTCAGAGTGTATTACAATTGCAACATGTTTTCGTCAAAGCTTATCTGATCCACAGTTGTACCCCTATGTCTTTCATATGAAGGATAAATGGTGTACTTATTATTTGCATATTCCTGGTATTTATAAAATAGGTATTATTTGTGATCCTCGCTTTAAGATTGATAATTTTAAAATTCTGATGGAGTATTACTACAGTTGTTTTTTAGATGAAAATAATTATTTCTACAATCATTTAATAAAATGGACAAAAGAGAGATAATGCTATTGATCTTTTTGAGTCATTATTTAAAGAATTTCAAGCTATTTACGGTAATGCACCGGAAGAAATAGCACCTCTTCCGCCTCCCAAAGCAAAAAAATATTTTAAAGGGATAGTCGGTGGCCTCTTGGAAAAAAAGGTAAGCGTAATTCTGTCTCGACGAGTTCAGGTGGTACAATTGTAAGTCCGCACAACGAACTTGCTATGTACCAAGGGGTGCCATGCGATTACGACGAAGACAACGACATGGATTTTGACGTCCTTGAATGGTGGAAGCGGAATGAACACATGTTCCTGTCTCTCGGAATGCTAGCGAGTGATACGGACGAAGTTACGGATGTGACGGAGGCTAGAGTCCCAGACATAGCGGAGGAGGTTCGGGCCGTTCGTTCTGAAGAGCAGGAGGAGGCCCGTGAGCGAAGAAGTGATCGACACAAGAAACGTCCGGCTTGGCATAAGGATTATGTTATTAATAAGTGACGTTATTTTATATTATTATTGTATCGTAGATTTTGTTAGGTGAGCGTTTTATAAGCTCCTTCGAGGGTTTCTTTACGGTTCTTTACCTCGCCGCTTTTCTTGAACCGTCAGAATAGATAATGTAGAATCCTTAGGGTTGAATTAGGGTTTTCCTATATATACTTGATGTATCCCTTACGTAAGAGGCATTGAAGGAATACAAGTAAAACCCTAGTTTACATTATCTCTCTCTTGGAGTCCGAGGACGCTCGAAGATCCTCCCCAACCGATACGTGGGACGTATCATTGGTGCTCTCGTTGACGTTGTTCGCCACTGCCGATCGTACGTCTCTGCCCTACCATGCCGTCCGTCCCTTCCCAGGAGGAAACCCTAGCCGCCATGCATGGCCAGATCCAAAACCTCAAGGGTGATTTGGATGCCAACGTCAAGCTACTGCAGGAGTCTCTCGGCCAGTTGCACAAGGAGTTGGAGGTCCGTATTGAGCTTCAGTTTCAGCGCCTCCTCACCATGTTACCCCCAAACCGCAAAGGCCATGGAGACGATGGTTTTGGTGGTCAACACAACGGCGATCAGGGAGGGGGTTTCCGAGATCATCACACTCCCAAACCCAAGCTCGAGGCCCCTATGTGTGATGGTTCGGAGCCGCTCCGTTGGCTTTATAAAGCCGATGAGTACTTCAAATTCTACAATACACCGCAGGAGGAGCGCAGGGGTAGACCCAGAACATTTGAACCGTGGGGTCGCAATTTAGAAAATTTATATCCAACTGTCACGCTTCTAACAATAAATAAACAGTATTTTATAATACATAACATTAAAGTTTATATATGTTATTGAAAATACTAATTAAAAATAATTCTACATTGCAAATGTGAAATACATCTTTGGAATCTCACTCAATTCTTTCTTTTTAAATCTTGGTGTTTTTTAAAATACCTTTGCATCCTATATTGAAATTTAAATAATTAAAAACATTATAAACTTAAAACATAACTTAATTATATCAACATATTCACAAATCACAATCTTAAAAAAAACGAATTCAATTCCCTATTCTGCTATTCACAATAACAAATTTATAACAAAAAATAAAATTTTCATAATTTACAAATAAAAAAAGAAATATCCAATTTAGATAACTAGATTCAATGATGTAAGAGAAAAAATCTGGCAAGTAGAAATGGAAAATGAAGATTTGTTCGAGAAATTGGGGGTGTCATCTTCCAAAAAATAATATATACTCATTCCTTTGCATCCTATATTGAAATTTAAATAATTAAAAAAAATTATAAACTTAAAATATAACCTAATTATATTAACATATTCACAAATTACAATCTTAAAAAAATAAACGAATTCAATTTCCTATTCTTCTATTCACAATAATAACAAATTTATAACAATAAATAAAAAATTTCACAATTTACAAATAAAAAAAGAAATATCCAATTTAGATAATTAGATTCAATAATGTAAGGAAAAAAACCTGGCAAAGTAAAAATGGAAGATTTGTTCTTGAAATTGGTGGTGTCATCTTCCAAAAAATAATACATACCCATTCCTAAGCTAGTTTCGAACTCAGGACCGCCCACCCCAATGCAAAACGCGGAGCATTCCACTCCTTCAGCGGGTACAAGTTGAAACCTCCAGCATTTTTTAGAATATATACGAAATTTAAGTATACACTAGGAAAATTGTATATATATATACTAAAAAATTTATAATTGCCGTGGGGTCGCTTGACCCCGTGTGACCCAACGTGGGTCCGCCCCTGGAGGAGCGTCTGCGTTGCATTGCACTCATGTTGGAAGGGCCAGCGGCGGATTGGTTCCGCTGGCGGATGAATGCCAATTTGATCGTCGACTACGCCGATTTCGTGGACAAATTCAAGCTCAGGTTTGACCCCATGTATTATGCTGATTATTTCGGCCAGTTAGCCAACCTCCATCAGACAGTATCTGTTATGGACTATCAAACGGCCTTCGAGAATATTATGCAGCACGTCACGGGTGCCTCGGAAGCTAATCTCCTGTCTCTGTTTCATGCGGGTCTCAAGCCCCACTTACGCCACGAAATTGCACTGTTAAAGCCCACCACACTATCTTCCTCCTTCGCATTGGCTCGAGAACTCGAGGCTAAGCACACCACGTTACTCCAATTGGTGTCGCCACGCCCACAATCCTGGAATTCATCTCTGCCACCTCGAGTTTTTCCCGCACCCACTCGCCCGAGTACACAGGAGGACAAGGCTGCCACGCCTACACCAATCGGCGAGGTTGGTGGTTCCACTCCTGTACGACGGCTACCTCGGGCCGAACGTTTGGAACGTCGGGCTAAGGGTCTGTGCTATAATTGTGACCAAAAGTGGTCTAAAACGCATCGATGCGGGCGTTTCTTGCTCTTATGTGACGACGGCGACGAGGAGCTCCCCGAGGATTCTGCCGCCGACGCTCCACCCATCACGGCTGATATCTCCAGTTTGAACACCATGGATGGTGCGCCCGCCCCGCGCTTTTTTAAAACATAATTCCGATATCTCATAACTTCCTCCATCCGGACCTTGTTTCTAAGCTTCAACTTCCGGTTTTTAAGCACCGCCTTCCATCCCCAATCGGACGGTCAGACCGAGGTTGTGAACCGAAGTGTGGAAGATTATTTACGGGCCTTTACTCAGGATAAACCCGCCCGCTGGTCCGTCTTGCTTCCGTGGGCAGAGTACACGTTGAACACTCGCTACCATGAGGGTCTACGTACGTCGCCATTCCACGCATTGTACGGTCGGCCACCGCCCACTTTTTTGCCATATTCATCCGGTGAGAGTAAGGTTCCTGAGGTTGATGCTCTCCTTACGGAGTGGGAATCCCTATGATATATTTAAGCTTGGGTTTGGAAAGGGAGGGGAGTGGACTGGTCGAGTATATGGAGGAGGATGAAGGGTTGATTTTTAAGATGGTTTAAAGGCATAAGAATAGGGGAGAAAAAGGGGGATACTGGTTGTGCTTTTTAGGAGGGCCGAAAATTTGGAAGGGAAAATAAGAGGGGAAAAGGGATAAAAACCAAGTAGGTTTTAAGAGATATAACACACTCTTATCCTCACTTGGGGTTTGAGTCTAGAATTTAATTAAGATATTACATACTCAATTAAATAACTAGAACCTAACACTCACACTTAAGGAAACCAACCTTAAGATATAGAAATTAGGATTTGAAAACAGAATACAACCAGTGTATTTCTATCTTGAAATGAAGAATAAAAATCTGAGCATTACAATAGGCCTATGGCCGAAATTTAAAGGCACTCATACAAAGGAAAATACTAAGCTATTTCTTCCACAAATCCTAGAAAATGCAGTCATGTGCTTGAGTCCTTTCATGGAATAAAATCAGGGAAAATGGGGACAGGGATTCATGAATGAATATTCATGAATGGAAGGGGATTTTCGGCCATATTAGAGGGCAAAATGGATGGGTGATGTGTTGGGTATTTTGGCTTGGCTAGTGAGGTGAATATTTGGTGGTTGGGGAGTGATTCATTCTGCCATAGTGGGGGACAGTGGGGTGTGAGAAATATGGCTTTTATAGGGTGGCTTTTATGGTGGTTTAAAGGTCAAAGTAATCAAAAATATCCCTTGGCTTGTTGTGCTTGTTATTTCGGTTGTACTAGGGGACAAGGGGGGGACAATGTTTGTGGGATGTTGGGTGATGAAATATGGTTGTTTGGCTTGGTGTGTTTCGGCCCTAGCTTAGGGAAATGAAAAGGAAATTGACTTATGGTTTTTTCTTTTGGCACAAAACGTGTTATTTTGATGGAGTGATTCAAGTAGGGAGTGGGGTAGTCTGGGCAGGGTATACGGCTCTTTTTAGGATGGAGATAGGCTCAAGGTTGTCAGGGTTAAGTAATATGGTTTGGGGTTGGAGAATTCATTTCAGAAAGGATCGTAACACTTAGACATGATTCCACTGATTTGTTTAAGGATTTGAGGATCAGGTGTAGTACTAGGGGATATAACACCCTATTACATCAGTTACGCCGAAATTTGGAGGCTGCCCAAAAGCGGATGAAAGCGGCTGCGGACAAGCATCATCGAGATTTATCATTTGAGGTTGGCGATTGGGTCTTATTGCGTTTGCAGCCATACCGTCAACATTCCGTTGCTCGGCGCCCGTCGGCCAAGCTTAGCCGTCGCTTTTATGGTCCGTTTGAGGTTGAGGAGAAGATCGGGCCCGTTGCCTACCGTTTGAAGTTGCCGCCTACAGCTCGCATTCACCCGTTTTTCACGTCTCACGGCTGCGACGCTGCTATGGGCAGCCCACTGGCCCATCCTACCCGCTGCCAACAACATTTGTAGATGGGCAGCCGGTCCGTATCCATCAGCACCGTTTCGTCCTCCAGCAGGGTCACATGGTCGAGCAGTTCTTGGTTGAGTGGTCGGACGGCAGTCTTGATGATGCTACCTGGGAACCCGCGGACGTTATTCGGCGTCGTTTTCCGACTTTGGACCTTGAGGACAAGGTCCCTGTGCATCCGGGGAGGGATGATACGGACGAAGTTACGGATGTGACGGAGGCTAGAGTCCCAGACATAGCGGAGGAGGTTCGGGCCATTCGTTCCGAAGAGCGGGAGGAGGCCTGTGAGCGAAGAAGTGATCGACACAAGAAACGTCCGGCTTGGCATAAGGATTATGTTATTAATAAGTGACGTTATTTTATATTATTATTGTATCGTAGATTTTGTTAGGTGAGCGTTTTATAAGCTCCTTCGAGGGTTTCTTTACGGTTCTTTACCTCGTCGCTTTTCTTGAACCGTCAGGATAGATAATGTAGAATCCTTAGGGTTGAATTAGGGTTTTCCTATATATACTTGATGTATCCCTTACGTAAGAGGCATTGAAGGAATACAAGTAAAACCCTAGTTTACATTATCTTTCTCTTGGAGTCCGAGGATGCTCGAAGATCCTCCCCAACCGATACGTGGGACGTATCAGCGAGACAAGTCTTATCCATGCCGGTTTCAACCGTAGCTGTGGAACAAGAATTCAATTCTAGCGGCAACATTCTAACCGACTAACGAAGTTGTCTTAGCGCTAAATCGCCTGAGAAACTTGTTTGCAACCGAGATTGTCTCTTGGCAAGACGTCGGGCTCAAGAGTCAGGGTACAATATTAGTACGGAAAATTACATGAATACGACCACAGAGGGAAGCCCTAGTTCCGAGGAATAAGTGAATAACTTTTTTTTATTTTATTGTAATTAGTTTTTGTAGGTGAGCGATATATAAGATCCTTTGAGGGTTTCTTTACGGTTCTTTACCTCGTCACTTTTTTTGAACTGTCAGGATATTTAAATGTAGTTGTTTTTGTACTATTCATTTTTTAATATTTAAATAATAACTACATTTTTATATATTCTAATTCATAAAAATTAAAAAGTTTTAATTTTTTTTTGCTTTTACGCATACACATTTATTAATTCTCATAAAAAATTATTTAAAAAATGAGGCGTAGCAAAACCGGCCGGTACGGTACCGAAACTGCCGGTACGAGTACTGGCACCGGTACCGTTATCGCTGGTACCAGTAACGGTGCAAAGAGGTGGCGGTACAGGAACCGCCAGTTTTGGTACCGGAACCGGACCGGAACCGTACTGTGTCCACCCCTAACATGAATGATGGAACAGATAAAATTTTGCCCACTAGAAAGAGTGTCGGTGTCATCCATATATATGCAAGGCATCCATCTTACTTAACACTTGCTTGATGCGGCCTAGAGTGTGAGAATGCTTCTCAAAGAGTTTTTGGGAGAGACATGCTGGTTAGCTAAGACAACAATAACAACAACACAGTTTGGGGATGGTGTGTGTACGTATACCTTGCCCCTACACAAGAGTAGAGAGGTTATTTCCAAGAGACCCTCAACACTAACAATAAAGATAAAATGAGAACACAGAATGCATATAGCAAAGATAACAAAAAAACACATAAAGGCCTAGAACAAACTAATTAAACAGAACAAAAACAAAACAAGCACAGAGCCCAAATCTACACGACAAACCAAGCACACACCAAGCAAAGAAACTACCACTAAGTCCAAAGCGCCCAACCGACTACCCTAATTCCAGTTCTCCAGCCTATCTAAGGTCATATCCTTCCTCAGTAAGGGAAAGAAGTCTTAGATCCTGACATATCACTTCTTTCCAATTCTTCCTAGGTCTACCTCTTCCCTTACTCCCACCCGCCAACGTAAGTCTCTCGCATCTCCGCACAAGGGTATCACGTCTTTCAAACCATCCACTGCAGCATCCGCATCTCTGCCACATATAATTGATGAACGTGGGGTTTTTAACTGCTCACCACTCTGCACAATAAAGCATAGCAGGCCCCTCACTACAGACCTGTAGAACTTTCCTTTCATCTGACTCGAAATCTTCTTATCATACAGAACCTGAAGCCAACCTCCACTTAGCCCAAGCTACTCAAACACAATGTGCAACATCTCTATCCAACTCCCCATCCGCCTGGATTACCGAGCCAAGATACTGAAACTTGTCTACCTTGGGCACTAGGTGGGAATCAATCTTAACATCCACCCTTGATTCTAACTCCTGGCCACTAAAACATTCCATGTATTCAGTCTTGGTCCTACTCAGTCTAAATCCCTTATATTCCAAGGAGCAGCGCCAAAGTTCCAACTTGGTGTTTAGTCCCTCGCAGGTATCGTCGATGAGTACAATATCATCAGCAAAAAGAATGCACCATGGGACTTCCCCTTATACTCCTAGCGTGAGAATGTCCATCATCAGAGTAACCCCCAACAAACTTTACCCTAGTTCTTGCCCAGTCCTCCTACACATCTCTGACTGCACGAATGTAAGCGATCCGCCCCCCTCTCACCTCAAGACACCTCCACAAAACCTCTCTCGGCACCCTGTCGTACGCCTTCTCGAGATCAATAAACACCATATGAAAATCCTTCTTCTTAGCCCTATACTCTTCCATCGACCTTTGCAAGAGATGAATGGCCTCCGTGGTTGATCGTCTAGGCATGAAACCAAATTAATTCTCAGAAATGCACACCCCTTCCGCAACCTATACTCGTTGATGCGCTCCTAAACCTTCATGGTGTGGCTAAGCAGTTTGATTCCTTTATAATTCTCACAGCTCTGAATATCTCCCTTACCCTTATATAGAGGGATCAAAACACTCTCCCTCCACTTGTCCGGCATCTTAGTTGTTTTGAAAATAACATTGAGGAGCTTAGTCAACCAAACTAACCCACTGCGTCCCACAAACTTCCAAAACTCCACCGGAATCTCATCCGATCTCAAAGCTCTCCCACTTGTCATCCCGCGGATAGCTCGGGCCACCTCCTCCTGACTAATACGCCGACAATCCCCAAAGTCTCGATGCGTCTCGGACTGTGCCAGGTCACCAAGTTCTAGCCTGGAATCTCCTCCTGCACCAAGCTGCAAGCCACGGAAGTATTCTCCCCACCTATTAGCCACCTCAGCTATCTTAAACAACGCTCTACCATCGCTTCCTTTCACGCATCTCACATGATACAGATCACAAGCTCTCCTCTCCCAAGCCTTAGCCAGTCAGAAAACTCTCTTATCACCGCCTTTCTCCTCAATGACCTTATAAAGGCGTTCAAAAGCTGCATTTTTTGCCCTCGTAAGCTCTAACTTAGCCTCCTTGCCAGCAATCTTATACTCCGCTCGAAGAGTCGCCCTAACCTCGTCATCACTACCGTCCACAAATCTCTTATAAGCCATCTTCTTAGCTTCCACCTTACCTCGAACCACATCATTCCACCACGAGTGATCACTCACCTTTATGACACCCCACAAAACCACAGTTTACACCCAACACCTCTCTAGCGGCTGACCTGATGCAGTTTGCAGTCTGAGCCGCCCACATGTATGTGGCCTCCCCAGCTGACTCCCACGCACCCATCTCTTGCACTAGAGTTACCAACTTTGGGAATTTCTCCCTACCCAGGCTCCTCCACCGGATACTTGCTGGACCACTTGTTGTTCTTCTAGGCCTTACCCAGTCGATCATGACAACCATCACTAGCAGCTGGTGTTAAGTGGTAAGATTCTCACTTGGGAGAACTTTAGCGTCCTTGCAGAGTACACGATCACACTTGCATAGAAGGAAGTAATCGATCTGCATCCTCCCCAATCGACTAACAAAGGTAACCAAATGATCCTCCTGTTTGGGGAAGCAGGAGTTAGCGACCACCAAATCACTCGCTCTAGCAACTTCAAGAGTGCAACCCCCGTCGTGTTCCTAGCGCCGAAGTTAAACCCACCGTGCACCTCCTCGAAGCCCTCGGCCAAGTCCCCAATATGTCCAGTAAAGTCACCTCCAATGAAAACTTTCTCTATCTGCAGAAAATTGCCTACCACCCCATCAAGCAAATCCCAAAACTCTCTCTTAACTTCGTCCTCCAAGCCAGCGTGAGGGGCATAGGCACTCACGAGATTGATAGCACAACCACTCAAGACTAGCTTCATAGTCATCAACCAATCACTAACCCTCTACACCTCTACCACAAACTCCCGCAACTCCGGTGCAACCAAAACCCACTTGGTTCCTGCTCCTAACCAAGCCAGAATATCACAACTTGAACCCATCCACTTCTCGCGCCTTGGTGCCCACCCATATGGCCTCTTGCACACATGCCACCTGAATCTTTCTCCTCTTGAGAATTTGCACCAGCTCAATGGATTTACCAGTGAGAGGCCCAATGTTCCACGAGCCGAAACGCACACTAGACCTACCCCTCCGTACCTGCCCCACACCCACCCTAGCCCCAAAATATGACCATAACCTACATTACAAACCAAGGCCACTATGCTCACAGAGGAAAAAAAGCACAAGCAACAAATACAATGAAAAAGGTAGAGTCAGCAGTAAACAACAGAAATCAACAATACAAGCAACAGGATTAATAAAAATACAGCAAACAAACAACTAACAAAAATAAAAAGTATATTGAGGCAGCACTACAATTAATCAATAAAAAATCAGGAGTAGCAATAAAACACATAGGGGTAGGTAAAATAGGTGTAAGAGCAACAAGAAAAGGAAGATGGCTAGGAGGGGTTAGGTCGGCAGGGGGTAGGATGATGGCCGGGGGCTGATGCTAGAGTTGGGGGGTGGCTGGGATTGGGCGGGGCCTGAGGGAAAAGAGGGGCTGGGGCTGGATGGGTCTAAGGCTAAGGCTGGGGCTGGGGCTGGATGGTTAGCTAAGACAGAAAATTATAATATGATGATGAAATGCAGTGATAACACTACTACAGTTGAATGCAAGATAAGGATAACAAGTAGAATGCATACCTACTTGGAAGGCAATGGGTAGAGAATAATATATGTCTTTTTGAGAATCAGAGTGTGGAATTGCATGTATCTCAATGACATTTAGATGAGGGTGCCGTTGGTACACCTGTTAAAAGATATCTGTCGTGGAAGAGAGATGAAGTGCATCAAAGGGGTAGGGTCTCAAGAGTTGGGTAAGGGTGACACTCAAGAAAGGTAACATCAGCCAATACGAAGTGATGTTTCAAGGTTGATGAGTAACACTTGCGGTATGAACGGGAAAAGAGCATTGAGGTTATTATTTGGATTAAAAGGAATTTGGAATGATGAACTAGTTAAATGCAATAGTCTAGTGATTGTTGACATCTGAGACTAAAATGGGCCTTCAAAATTGAGACAGGGTGCAAGGCCTTACCTGAATGACCTGATATTACTTCTTACCGAAATAAACTTATGATTGGTGTACACGAAAAAATCAGCACCAATGGTGTACAGAGATTTCTTGGTCATGTATTATGAGCAAACCACCGGACACGGCTCTGACAGAAATAGTTCCAACCAGCACCGGTCATGCTAGATTATTGAGTGGAAATATCCTAATTTTTTCCTAACCAGCAGTGTAATCATGTTCATAACATGGGCATTAGGTGACAAGAATGGGTAAATTGCATCTTTCAAAGAAATTGATTTCTCAAAACTTAGAAAAATAAAGACACGAATCTTGAACTCTTAAAGCTACAAGTTGAATTCTTTATTTCTTATAATGGGAGTATGATATGATTACATTATTTATAATAATTGAATTCTTTATTTATTTTAATTACTTAATAATTTTGTGTGGTTTTGTCAAAAAATTGGCGTATATTCACATTTGTAAATTGGGTGTTTTTATTGAAAGAATTTTTGTTTGAAACTTGAGTCTCGTAGTGAGTTTTCGTGATTATCAAAACAAAATAATTGTCTAGAAATACGAGCTCAACCAACCATATTTCTATGTTTGACACTTGAGTAACACGGAGGTGCGAGAGAACATTTTAAAGTCATTGGTCCAAGAATAGGAACTAATTAATAGTTATAAACCTGGGGTGCCACTTGTGGCATGTGATACGTGGCCAGCACATCAACTTGTAGCCTTTAAGACCGAAATACCTAAGGACGTCTAAAAGGACATAATTCACGAGTTAAAATGGAACCGAGAAAAAGGTCTCATTATTAATGCCAGACAACATGTCGTTAGTATTGCAACAAGCCAGAAATAAGGTCGATCATGTGAATCAACAAGGTACAAGTTGCATCAACCAGATGTCTATTTTTACGTTTGCAATTCTATTTGACTATTGTATTAGAGTATAGATGGATTGATGTAGCATGCCCTTGGATGACATGACAAAAAATAATAATCAAAGTTTTTGCATTGTAACTAAAAACTTTTAATTTTGTTTGGTTGAAAAAAAGAGTAGACACAAAAAGAGAAAGAATGTGGGCAGAAAGCCAGAAAGAAAAAGGAGGGAGTTTTTTGCTTTGTTTGGTAAGAGAGAAAGAGAAGGTACTATTATTCATTTTGTCTTCCATCCATGAAGAGAAACTGAGAAAGAATAATTATGTGAGTATTCGCTCTTTATTCGCATAAAAACAGAACAGGTATTCTCTAAGGAGAAAACACTTGGTCACACGATTCCTTGTCAAGCAATCTTTACAGTTGAGTTTTCATTCTCCACGGAAAGACATTCAATATGAAGTTGCGAATTTCGTTCTTTTCTAGGAACAAGATCCCTCAGTTAGTATTGTTTCAATACTAACTGAGAAAGAATAATTATGTGAGTATTCCATCCATGAAGAGAAACTAAGAAGAATAATTATATGAGTATTCCCTCCTCTTCGTGATAGCAGACCAAGGGTAGAAAAGGGAGCCATAATTTTGACTAGAATGGTACCGAAGACTGGTAGCCAAGCTGAACCATAGTTATCGATGGTGCAAATGGCGCGTGCCATCATAGTTGTCATGGTGCATGACAAAAGTTGCGGCGATGGACCAGTTTTTATCGCGATGGCGCAAATATGGCGTCGCCACAGGTCACAAGTCATAATAAGAAATGATTTTTAAAAAAATAAATATAAAGATATCACTAAAGATAACCATATTTTAAAAATATGAAATATCATTGTCACCTTTAAATTTAATTTTGTTATGGCAATGACATTTCATATTTTTAAATATGGTTATCTTTAGTGATATATTTATATTTATGTTTTGAAAAGTTATTACTTATTTTGACTTGTGACCTGTGGTGGCGCCATATTTGCACCATTGCCATAAGAAATGGGTCCAACGCCATGACAACTATGAGCTGAACTAAGTTATAGCTAGGGCAGAAATTGCTTTTGCAGTTAGTCTTGTGATTAAGTTTTATAACTCTCTTAATGAAAATCACACTCTAAAATAGTGTAAGGGGTCTCTTGGAAGTGGATTATTTTATGAAAACAAAGGTCATAACTAAAACACTCTCATAAAGACTTGGCAAGGTCTCTATGAGATAGGAGATCAACTTCCGGATTTTTCATTTTCAATGTAGGTAATCTTATTTCCTAGAAAAAATAAGAAGCACAACTTAGGTCAAAAGTGGAAGATTAAGCAATGAAGGAGAGTTAGAGCCATAACGTTCACTCTATGGGAGTTCATCAGGTTAAAGAACATACTCCAAGAATTAAGACATTGCACTTTTGACACCAAAGAAAAATTTCCACAAACATAAGAATGTCTGTCTCACAGACATTCGAACATGAGATGTCTATGAAAATCATTCCTTTGTGTCAAAAGTGGTGCCATTCTTGGTGTACAATAAAAATTACTCCCTCTGTCCCGCTATATTCGTCCAGTATTCTTTCTTGGGGCATCCCACCATATTTGTCCACTTTTTATATTTGGTAAACAAAATTTAATAATTTTCCAACTTTACCCTTATCACTAATTCCCATCCACCTCATTTACTACCCAACCCACCCAATTAATCAATCACCCTATCCCACCTAATTTACTACCCAACCCACCCAATTAATCAATCACCCTATCCCTACACTCCCCCAACCTTATCGACACTTATCTCTGTCTCTTCTTCTTCTTCGGCTTGCTTACACTATCTCTTCTAGATCTAGATCTGGGATGCCATCCGGATCGCTGGATTTCTCCTTCAACGCCTTCTCCAAGTAAGCCAACTCCTTCCCGAAGAGGATAGTCCGCATTCTGCCGCCATCAACGGAAAGAACACAAATTTTCCCCCTTGGGTATTTACAGACGAGATGGATTTGGATTTGGGAATCCAGAGCTTGTGGTGATTGTAGCCGGCGGTGGGATGATCGGCCGACGACATATCGGGAAAGAATCCCACTTCCATTCAAAAAAGAAGGAGAATTCAGTTGGGGGAATTAAATTGGTTTATTTCAATCAATATGGAGCGAGTGGAGTGGAATTGGGATATACTCCCTGATTGAGTGCACCAACTACTCCGTATTTTCTTCCCATTATTGTCTTCCCACTACTCCATATTTTCTTACTTCAAGGGCAAAAAAGACTTTTCCTTTATCTTTAATCTCCCTTCTTTGGTATTTGTGCCACTTTGAATGTGGACAAACATAGAGGGACGGAGGGAGTACTCTAAATTAATTTATGGTAGTAAAAAAGAACCAAGCATATAAAGAATTTATTTCAACTTCAAATGGGATAATGATCTATCTACATAAATCAGCATGCCATTTGTAAGACCCAATGGTCAACTCGTTGATATCTTCATTGTTCACCAAATTTTTGCAAAATCCTTAAACAACCTATTTCATTACAAGTTTGGTGCTTATAACACTATGCACTAGCTTGTGTAGTAGTGTCATGTGCCAATATATCTTATAATTATTTGTTTACATATCTATAGCTAAAAAGTACTACCTATGTTTCATTATAGTTGTCACACTTGAATTGGCACATAGTTTAAAATGAGGAGAAAAAGTTCTTGGGGGGTAATATTGACTAGGAGAGAGATTGAAAGGGTTTATTTGTGGAGAGATTTAATGGAGTAGGTGTAATATTGTGGAGTGATAGAATGAAAAGGTGGGGTGAGTGTATGTATGTATATTAATGTATTTATTGCTATAAGAGAAACACGACAAATAGTATAAATGAACCCATAAAGGAAGTAAGAGAGGTATTATAAAACAAAGGACGTATATAAAAGACTAGTATGAATAGGATTACTTGCTTTTCTCCTTTGTGTATACCAAATCCCTAAAATAGAGAGATTGCTTTATTGACTCATTTAATAACCTTCCTATTTGTACAACCACAGAGATGTGTAATGCATATGTGCTAACCTTTTCCAATATAATATACTCCGTGTAAGTGAAAGAAAAGAATAAACCTTGCATGTACAAGAAGGGATCCTAGCATGAACGAGTTCTCAAGTTTTCTCAACTCTTGATCTTTCAAATCTGCATAAGCAATTGAAAATGTATTACTCCCTCCGTCCCCCATAGATATTCTCATTAGCCCTTTTTATTTGTCCACCATAGATCTTCTCATTACCTTTTTTAACACTTAAAATACCACAACTACCCCCACTTACTTTATTTATTACATCTCACCTACCTCATTTAATACACTCCACCCATTTTCATTAAGGGTATTATGGTAAACTTTCACCTTTTTTCAATTCTCCTAAAAAACCGCAAAAAGTCAAAACGAGAAGATCTTAGGGGGACGGAGGGAGTATTATTTAATCAAACTGCAAGGGGGATTGATAAATGAAAGCCCAAAGTGAACCTCAATTCCAGATTATTCAAAAGATGCAAATTAAGGTATACAATAGTATTCACAAGGGTCAAACTTCATTCATTTTTTTTACTTTTCATTTGATAAAATAATATATTCATGTCACCTCAAGTTCTGTAGAACTTTTGTAGTTTTTAAATATGTAAATTTAATTAGGACGAAGGGAGTACTATTCTTTATCTTATACCGTTCTAAACAACTTATATGGACAAAAGCAACTTATATGGCCAAAACCAAATTCAAATGAAAGAAAGTTTATTGTTCAAATTGCAAAATGCCCTCCTTCAAAACTGGTTTATGTCAGTTTATCAAGAAAAGAAATTTGAATTTCGATAACATGGGAGCATACCAGCAAAAAATGTCGGTGTAGCCACAGGAGTGCCTCTTGTATGTGCCATATAAAAGAGAGTATATATGTGTGGTAAAAGACGATACCGTCTCATCAATGCAAGGCGGCAAACATCTTCACACTGTCCAAAGACGAAGTCCAACCATTTTTATTGTGAGTATTAGAAACCTTTTAGTTAGGAAAACAATGCTAATAAATAACATTTCTCTCTTCTACCCAAACTTCTGATCATTCTAACTTCTAACATTTCAGGAGAAAAAACTTTGAGAACTGGAAATTTCAGTGGTATGAACATTGTATCCAATTGTGTGAAACGAGATAACCAAATAGAGTTACTCAAGTAAAATATGTGAACCCCTTCAAAAAAGGGAAACATAAAGGTCGCTGAAAAAAACATACCCATATGAATCATTTATGACTTGCTATTTGATAAACATATTGAAAATATTCTAAAACTTCTTCAGTAAGTCACTAAATTATGGAAATCCTGTAAAGGAGGCCATGTAATGATATGCATGAAAAGTCAAACTCATTCCAATATCCGTACAAGGCTTTAGCTTCCTTCTCAAGGCAAAGCTATTGAAAATTGCCTAGAGGCTTCTGCTTCTCCATGTGCTGAGTAGATTACGCCTCAACCAAGTTAGGCTTATGCCTAGGGTGGACACGGTTCTACTGGAACTGGCGCTTTTTGAACCTTGCCAGAAACTTTAACCATGGTTTCGAAACTATACCAGATTCAAAACCAATAAATTGGAGAACCAGACATGAACATGGGGAGTGCGGTTCCTGTTCCTATATTTTTGGAACCAGATTCAGCTTTTCCCATTCTCAGTTCTATACTTCTATTTTAATTTTTTTGTTTGTTTAGATGTATCTATAATTTAATAGAAAACTAATTTCGCGAGGAGGAATGCACTTTTGTTTAACCCAATATCTAATTGTATTTTTTTGAAGTTCATTATTTAAAAAAATAATAAATGGATTGAAACCAAAACCGTTGGTGGAACCGGGCTAGAATCGTACCGGTCAGAAGAGGTTCCAATTCCTCCATTATGGGAACCAGGAACCTAGGTTGCACCGGGACGGGTGCGGGTACATATACGGGGACGGGGACGGATTCGGGAATCGGCATTTTCAAAAATTTAAGGATGCGGGGACGGCAAGGATTCGTCAACAAAATATAATTAAAAAATTAAATATAGGCATGTAAATGTTAAAAATAATATTCTATGGAGTACTTAATTAACATAAAACAATCCAATGATGTATTAGCATAAAAAGAATAATGGAATACTTGTAACATCATAACAATCATGTTTGGAAAAATAAATAAATAACTAATAAACATAGTTTTTGAAATCCTCAAATAAAAAGGAATAAACAATGGTCCAAAAACAGTAATACAATAATAAACAAGGATCCAAACTAGATTAATAAAATAATCTATAAAAAAAAGAAAGAGGAATTAAAGTTCTACCGTCAAAAAAAAGAGCAGGTAGTGCTCTACTGCTCTGGTCTAGTGGTCTCTCTGGTTCCGTAANAATTAAAGTTGGGTAGAAAAGCTTACCTTGTCGCCGGAAAAAGCAAAGCAATTAACCGGAATTGAACTCCCTCCCCGTCGGCGGTAGATGCAATCGGCGGTAGAAGTCTCTGCTCTGAATCGGTTCGTAGGAATGAAGCGGCGGATCCAGGTCTTTCAAGGCTTAATTAAATTACTTTCCAAATCCTAATCCTAATTGGTCAAATATTTTAAAAAACTTTTCAATTTAAGATTCGTACCCAATTCCTACCCGATTCGTCTGGATTCGTACCCAATTTCTACCCGCCGAATCCAAACCTGTAGATCCGTTTCCGGTACGTCACTAGCCGTCCCCGCCGGCGATTCCGTCCCCGCGTCGCTTCCGGAGCGGGAGGCGGCACCAAACTGCCGAACCCGTGCAACCTAGCCAGGAACCACCAGTTTTGGAACTGTAACCGGACCAGAACTTGATTGTGTCCACCCCTACGTCTAGGTGCATGCCTCAATGGGAATATGCAAAGATCATAGTTGTTAAAGGTGCTCACCTCTCTTGCCTATAGCGACTCAGGCGAGGCGACTCTGAGCGCTTCAAGAAAGCCTGGCAAGGTGAGATCCCTACCTTAGGCGATCGCCTGTCTCGCTTTTCTCGCCTCAATCCCTGCCTCAGGCAATCGCCTAGCTCGCCTTTCAGTACTTTATGCATGTTTTGTTTTCCTCTGACATTTATGTAGTGTTTAAGGCTTTAGGATATGCAATACATAATATTTATTGCTGTACATTACTCCGTAATATATATATATATATATATATATATATATATTATCTATATTGTGTGTTTATACATACATACATATTGCAAGTTTGCAACATACATACATACATACATACATATACATATATATATATACACACACACATACATATGCATGTATGTTCGCCTTTTGACTGCCCGCCTCTCGCCTCAAAAAGGGTCCTCTCGCCCACCTCTTGCCTTTAATAACCATGGCAAAGAAGATGGACAGTTTTGCAAAAGTTGGTTATTATTTTAATAGAAAAAGCTTAGGCAAACTAAAACTGTAAGTCATTAGGTTTTTTCTTATTTACTCGACAACTTTCTTCTCCACGATTCTACTACATGGCTTTCTTCTCTACTATTTTAAATCTTCTAACAACAGCAACCTTTTTTTATATCCAACTTCTTGTTCATCATTATTTTGTGTTAAAGAGTTGAACTAATATATATATATATATATATATATATATATATATATATATAGACACACACACACAACAACAACAACAACAACAACAACATTACCCGAGTGCCTCAATGGCTCCCGCCCATTGCGGGGTAAGGGGGGTCAGATGTACGCAGTCTGACCCCTATGTTTAAAAAATAGAGCGGCTGTTTCCAGATGACCCATGATGAGCATCGAAAGTTGCATTGACCAAATGCTACTTCACAATTGCAAGAAGCGCAAACAGCTTAGAGAGCCAATTTGCTTTATTCCATCAATCCATCATATCCCAAAGCCAAAAAATAGTGAATCTTCGGCTCCACAGGAGAATGAAATTATATATATATATACACACACACACACACACACACACATACATACATACATACATACATACATACATACATACATACATATATATATATATATATATATATATATATTAGTTGAAAATTGTTATGAATTTTACAATTTTTTCATCCACCAACAACAATACAAAACCCAATATATCCCAAGTCTGGCAGAGTAAATTATTTCCATTAGACCCTTGAATTGTTGCATTTACTATCCAAAATAAGTTTAATGTGTCATTTTGCTTTCGTCCACTATTTACCCAAACCTTAAACATTGTCAAAAATGACTGGTATTTGGCAATGCACAACTATCATGCACTTATAGTTATTATTATGATTACCAAGTTTTATTTAGTATTTTTAAATAATTTTGTCATTTCACAAACTTGATTGAACTATATTAATTTTTGCAGGTATTGTGCATTTTAGTTTTCTCTCGTGGGTGGAGGTATGTGTATGTTCTGTGTACATCTTACCCACCCTAGACCCCATCCGTGGGACTCAGCGGGTATGTTGTGCATTTTTGTTTTCTAAAACCAATATATCTTAAAATCTATAGCAGGAAAAAGCAACTGCTGACTAAGCAAGAGCATACCTCTTCTCCGAAGGACCAAGGTTCATGATTGGTCGTGTCAGCTTCAGAATGCCCACGAGAAAATGGAAACAAGGCACCAATGCCCATCCACCTTCCAAACAGTTTTGGAGTTGCATTGCCAGCAAACCCTCCTATATCTGGTCCAGATAGTGGTTGACCACTAAGGCCCTGAAGAATTAAAAAAAGATTATATTATAAAACAGTTTAGGCTTAAGTTAACTCAAGTATGCAATCTTGATGTTCTGCATATCTAGCCCATAACTGCAAACTGGANGGAAAAAGCAACTGCTGACTAAGCAAGAGCATACCTCTTCTCCGAAGGACCAAGGTTCATGATTGGTCGTGTCAGCTTCAGAATGCCCACGAGAAAATGGAAACAAGGCACCAATGCCCATCCACCTTCCAAACAGTTTTGGAGTTGCATTGCCAGCAAACCCTCCTATATCTGGTCCAGATAGTGGTTGACCACTAAGGCCCTGAAGAATTAAAAAAAGATTATATTATAAAACAGTTTAGGCTTAAGTTAACTCAAGTATGCAATCTTGATGTTCTGCATATCTAGCCCATAACTGCAAACTGGACCTCCTAGACAGTATCAACTCAATTCATAAAGCATATATAAGAAGATTTAAGAAGGAAGATTTGTCTTGCTGATGATGGACGGCTAGTAGGTAGATGGGTGGGTTGATGATAGATAGAAGAAAGAACAGATGTTTAGAGAGAGAGAGCAAGAGAGCAACAGATGTACAGAAAGTGCAGTTGAGATGAGCTAGTTAAGATGAAGCGTAAACTGATTGTATCGGGTATTCAGGTGCAAAATAACAAATATCATTTTCTTTTTTGTGGCTATGGAATTGAGTAGATATGCAACCATGCAAGTTTTCCAGGGAATAGAATACAACCAATGCATGTATGCAATAACGGGTAAACAGCTTTTGTTCAAGTCATTTGATAAAGACTCTTTGGATTTTGGGCCTAATTCCTCTAACTCCCAACAAAGCTCTATTACAAAATACAAACCCATACACTTGTTATTTGAAATCCAAAAATTCAAAATTTAGAATTGGCATTATAACATTTATGAGCCTAATAGACATTGTTTGTACACCAGAAAGAATTTTAATCAAAACTTCAAAAGTATGCATAGCATTGTATTAACATAAAGTGATTCTCGGAAAATCAAGACCTTGGTTCATGCTAGAGAATAATTGCATAGAAAAGTTGGAAAGCTTTAAATAACACATCATTTTCAATTACCAGGTTCAGAACCATGGAGATACTCATGTGAAGATGCTCCCATGTGGAGAGGTTATCTCCTGTCCATGTTGCAGCATACTTTTGGCTACCAATAAATCCTGCTCGTGTTAGAACAAAGGGCCGCTTATTACTATCAGCTAGCTTCATCCCTTCAAATGTAGATCTGGCCATCAGCATGCCATAGACCTCAAAAAAACGCAGCATCATTGAAGTTAATATTACAAAGTAATTACATGAAACGTAGAAGCAAGTAAAGACTACAACAAGCTTGGTACTTGATTCAGTTACCTAAATAATATATACAACTATGTATTGATTCACAATCTAACATATTAAAAAATGAAACCATAAAACAATGATTTCAGAGATCTCTGGTGGTACATTGTGGTAATACAAGTGATTTTGTCTGCTTCCAAATTCATCATCTCCTCTATGAATATTGGTCTCAGGCATTGTCTTTGTTAGAGTCTGCAACAGAAAAGTCACAGAAAAAGAATATGGAATTATGGCACTAAAATAATGAGAGTTTATATAAAAACAAATCGGTCAACCTTAAAAACAGCTGGTTCATTCATATCATTCCATATTCCATCAACACCATTAGAGACGAAACCTTTAATCAAACCAGCCCACCATGACCGGACATTAGAGTGTGTGAAGTCGGGAAATACACAAGGTCCAGGCCACACATCACCTATTTAAGTAAATAAAAGTAACATGCTAAAAACCATATGCATGTACACTGAAGAGGGTACATTACATCAATGAAGGCCTTGGGTTTATAAAAGTTAAAACTGCATACCCACAAAAGGCTTGCCATCAGCTGTTTGAATCCAAAGATCTTTTTCACATCCACTGTCATAGACAAAGTAACCCTTTTCGCACTTAATGCCGGGATCAATCATCCAAATGGCTTTGAAACCATTTTGATGAAGATCATGCACAAGGGATTTTGGATCAGGAAAATGCTCCTAATAAAATAACAAGGGTTAGAAAACAGAAAGCTAAAAATATGAACATACTACATAACGGATAGTCACATAATAGAATATGGATGATGAAACCTAACAGATTTATATCAGCAGCTATCCCTTGAGACCAGACCAAAAATAAATATCTGAGTGGAGCTGCTAAGGTATCCAGCCATGGAGTTCAAAGCTAATTTGAATATGTTATTTAACTAGATGGAGTGCACAATCTAAGTGAAATAAGTAGTGCTATTCCCCTGTGGAAGAGGTTCAAAGTTCTGTACTTTCAAATGGAGAGGATATATGTAACTACTATGGTACTTCGTATAAACAGCAAAAGAAACCTCTAAGATTATTTTTTGATGTGAAAGAGACATAAATTAACCAAAAATGCCACCATATATTCTATAAGTGAGAGAGCAGTCCATGGTAAAAAACAGTGTGACAATGAACAAAGTAGTTGATCATTTCAGTAGACTAGTACAAATCGCCAATCATGCAACAGTTGCAATAAAATGAAAGATAAAGTAGACACCTTATTTGGACTGTTAAGAACATACCTGGTTAAATGTGAAACAACGAAAACCATCCATGTAGTCTATGTCCATCCATATGACATCACAAGGAATTTTTTTCTCGCGAAATGTTCTTGCTATCTGTTTCAAGTAAACAAACTAGGACCTGAGGAGATGAGTTGATAAAGTAGTCCACAAATAAGATTTAGGAACATCTTTAGGCCATTGAGAGTAATGATTAACCTTTGCACTGGTTAGAATAATATTTGTTATGCATAGTTTATCTCTCTCTTTCCATCATCTCCGATGGAGCCAAAGATTCAATATTTTTTGGCTTTGGGTATGATAGAATAAAGCAAAATGGTTCTTTAAACTATATGTGCTTCTTTTTTAATAGTGAAGTAGTTGTTAGTCAATGCAACTTTCGACGCTCATCATGAGTCATTCGGAAACAGCCGCTCTATGTTTTAAACATAGGGGTCAGACTGCGTACATCCGACCCCCCTTACCCCGCAATGGGCGGGAGCCTTCGAGGCACTGGGGTAATGTTGTTGTATAGTTTATCTCTCTCCTTTTAGTTGAGCTGAATGGCATTCACCCTCTTCTTATGGTTGACCTACTTCATCCCTCTTTTCATGCGACTTCTAGGTTATGTTTGTTTTGAAGGGAGAGTTTTTATTAAAGGAGAGGGAGGAGAGAATGATAAAGGAAATGAGTGGAAGAGATTCAATGATGTTTAGAATAAATACTTGAGGAGGGGAAAGTAATAAAGGATGGTATCCATCCTTTGTTTGGATTGGAAAGAAATTGAAAGAAAGTAATGGATTTTATGAGTAAATATAACTCATAAGGGAGAGTTGCTCTCCCTTCCCTCCCTTTTACCCCAATTTAGAAGGAAGCAAAATAAAGGGTTATGAGGGAAAGTTCATACCCCTGAAAATTCCTTCCCTTCTAAAAGGTGCAAAACAAAGAAGTGATGGATTACTTCTCTCTTTCAAGTCCCTCCCCTTCCTCCCACTACCCTTAATCCAAACATAGTGTTAGGGAGGGAACAAGATAAGAAAATGCCAAGTGTTTTTTTGTTTTCCCAAGCTGTTGTGTTTCTAAAGACTGCGCTCTCTTAGCTGGATCTCAACCTAGCCTTGAGCCTACAATGGAATCTCATACCCATCAACCCAACCTAGACAAAGGGCAGCTTTACTATGTTGCAGCTATCCATTTTATTATAAATAAGGGAAAGGTACGAAGTGACTTGACTGAAAAGACAGGGCTTTTTCATCTAGTGCGCAAGACAATCTCTTGTTCGGAAAGCCTTGGAAGTAATTTGGACTAATTTTGTTTGTACAATCGTTCTCCATCCAAAGCCCAATCTTGCTTTGTTCTTCCTCAACTATCTTCAGTCTTTATATTTCATGGTAAAATCAATTAAATAAAGCTCATTGCACTATACTCTTAGGCCATGTTCTCCTCAACTTATGTTTTTTACTTATTACTTCCACTTATTGGAATCAGATCGGGCTAGATCAGAAATAGCTTTAAATATAACTACATTCGAGATCAGATCAGAACTTATTCCAATCAAATTAGAACCAATCAGATCAGGTGAGAGAACATGGCCTTAGTCTCTTACATAGTATACCAATCCATCCTTATTATTTGAAGGAACCAAATAGTAAAGGTATTTCAGACTTTTTCTTCTCCTTTAACCTTTATCTTGGTATTTAAGCCAAAACGAAAGTGGACGGATACACCAGGATGGAGGGAGTATATTCCGACATGTTATGAGAAAAGAAGGAAGAATATATGAGTGACAAACCTCACAAACTCGTGCATCAGGTATATAACTCCAACGACATTGATGATAACCCAATGACCATTTTGGAGGCATAAAAGTAGTCCCTAGATGTGAAATGCAAGCAAAGTAAATTGTGGTTAATGAAGAAAATGTCTAAAGTAGTTACAGCAGAGAAAAAGTAATATAGCAAATGACAGAACTGTGAAATACGGAGTAGTATTCTTTGATCCCGAATTAGAACCACAACAGAGAAGTGGGGTAAAGGCCAGGGAAAATAGCATAAGGCATTTTGAAAGCTAAGAATGTCAATGGCAAGGACTACAAGTGCATGGCACATCATATTACCAATTGCATGTGACAAAGTTACAAGAACATCCGTTGGAGAAGCGAAGGGGCCAAATGTAATAACAGGATATGGCCCCGCTGCAATGAACTTGATATTGGTTTCTATTCTCAAGTCAATCTGCACCAACAAATGTGGAGAAATTTAACTCAAGTACCCATCAGATAGAGCATAAATATTAGTAAAACAGACATACACAAACACACCTCACATTGCAGTGATGTATCTGCCAAAACCCCCAGTGCCTCTCCACTGGGAAGAATAGTCAGCACCCAAGGGTGTGATTGGTACAAGGAGGTAGTCCCAGGACCATAACCATACGCATCAGTATTCCAGGTGAATACCTGGATATAATAACAAGCACAATGAAAAAGCCTGCAAAGAATAGCGTGAAAGTACTTCACAGATTTTTTTAAAAAAAGAATTGCACTCACCCTTTTACCCGTTCTTTCAAGCTGGCCACTAACTTCTCCTGTACCATAGAATGAAGTACCTAGTGGAAACTAGATTTCATCCCAGCTCAACTTCATCAGATTTATTAGACGTATGATACTCTAAACACTTGACAGGTTGCTATTTATACATTCTATTGGGACCAAGATTTAATACCTTAATGTTGACGATTTGTTGCCCCATTACACATTGAAAAGTAGGAGTATACAATGGAGCTTTGTGACCACTCGTAAGTGGTGTCTCCCTTGCCTTCTGATCTACGAAAGAAAAACTTGGATATGCTGCATTCCGGTCTTCTGCAGAGCAATCAAATCGGAAGACTCCTTCCTCTAGAATAGGCTCAAAAATCATATTCCCAGATCTCTCATCCGAAGTTTCATTTGTCCTATTCCCAGCCATCTTAGAAACCGCAAAAGTTTCCCCACCAAATCTTTTACCAATTATACTTCTCTTCCTACATACACAACTTTCTTAGTACATTCGCCTGTTTGCCATCATGCCCTCCACCCATAAAATTGGGGAAATGTAACAGTAGAAACCACAACCAACAACACCGACGTCAGACAAGAAACCAGCAGGTCAATAAAGGAAGTAAATTTTCAAGCTTAAGCTCCATCCATGATTTAATATTCTGAAAGCTCATAATTTGCTAACTAAAAGTAAAAATAGATTTTATAAATGGCAATAGTTACACTATAATTCAAATTGATACAGCATGCAATTCACAGGCTTTTAATCTCCATATACCGGAAGCTACCTATTTAACAGAAATGGTTTCCGCACTGAATCAGACACAAAGATAAATAATATTGTATAGAACTCAAGAGACGTTATCAGGTTAACCCAAAATCACCTGATCGAGTGGTAAGAAAAAGTACGATTATTGGTGAGGAATAGAGAGCGGCAATTCAAGACTTTTTGCTTCTTCAAAGACCCTTTAAAGAGACTCCAAGAGCAAGCTGAAGGAAGACTCTGAGGACTATGTAACGAAATGGACGCTCCGCTCGCACCCAGTGTTTTGGCACTGTCCGTCACGCTTCTACGCATGAGCAGCAGTTCATCCCTTCATCCAAGTGCTCCTGGTGTAACTGTGTATGTAATTTTATCTTCTTGATGTTCTTGGTATAACCGCATGTATGGTACCATTGAAGTAGAGAAATATTCATTATGTCACACATACAATTATACAATTAGAGTGGTACTCATCCTAAAACAAACAATGCAGTAATCATTTTCACACATTGATTTAATAAAATTATAATGTTTATCTATTAATAATGTAATGTTTATTCTGAAACAAAACAGTACTCATTTTCAAAGAACTTAGTGTTCATTCTCATTTAAAATAAAATTTATACCATAAATAATTTCTTGGTTGTACCCAAAATTGGGTACAACCGGATGTATAATATCATTTGCCCGTGTGGATAGCATCCCAATTTCTTTTTTTTTAACTTTTGGTTTTAAATATTACTTTTGTAATATTTTATTTGATTTTTTCAAATTAAATTAAAAAAATAAACTAAAAACTAAAATTGGAAAGAAATAAAAAAAAGTTATAACTAAAATTTTAAAACTAACACTAAAATTTAAAACTAAAACTAAAATAGTTCTAAAAAAACTAATAAACCAAAATAGTGAAATTTAAAACTACGGAACAAAAAGAAAATTGAAAAACTATAATTTCACCAATGTCATTCGAACTTATTGCTTTATTTCATTTCGGTATATAAATTTTAAATTCTTATCACAAAAATAGACCACCGATGAAAAAGTATAATATGGAAAGTTCATGTATTTTTGTAATAAGAATTAATGTGTATATACCATTTTTAGACAACAAGTTCGGATCCAAGAAGAATAAGACCCAAACCTGCAAAAGAAGGAAGAAGAAGACGGAGGACTGCGGAAGAAAAAAAAGAAGGAAACCCCATCGGCGTGCTCCCCCATGTACACCGAGTCCCGATCAAGGGGCGGTGTTCCCGACAGCACTGACGGCCAGCTTCGTCTCCCTGATGCTTGCTAAGCTCCACACCAATCAACTTAAGTGTGTCACTCTCATCACAAGTTACACCAAATCACCAGTATATGGGTCTCGTTAGAGGCGGACCAACATTGAGTCCTACGGGGTCCAGGACCTCGAGGGTGATTTCATATTTTTATATATGTGAAAATGAGAGAGAGAAGAGAAACATTTTGTTTATTATTCAGTGCTCGTGTTTAAAAGAGATCTTCCCTTGAATATATAGTCGCCAATATAGTGTAGAAAATAACCAAGTCCAACTAGGAAAAAAAATCCACAAACAAGAAAACATAATCTGCCAAGGAAACAAAACACAATTCAGACATAAAGTCTTTTTCTTGCATTATACGCATGTGTCACGCGTTACAACCCCACTCAAACTAGAGCATGGGGATTTCACACGCCTAGCTTACATAGTAAATGAGTGAACAGACCATCACTAAGAGGTTTAGTAAAGATATCTGCGGGCTGCTCAGTCGAAGAGATGTGGGCAGTGCAGAGGATGCCCCCATTGGATCTCGTCGCGGATAAAATGATAATCAATTTCAATGTGTTTGGTACTGTCATGGAAAATATGATTAGAAATGATGTGGAGGGCAACTTGGTTGTCACAAAATAAATTCATTCGTTTCGGGTGGGAGACGTCGAGTGAGTGGAGGGGTGAACGTAGCCACTTTAGTTTGCAGACGGTGGTTGCCATGGCCCTATACTCAGCTACTACAGAGGAATGAAACACCATCTTTGGCTTCTTTGTATGCCATGAGATAGGAGAGTCCCCTAAACAAATAAAGTATCGTGAGACAAAACGATGAGTGAGGGGACAACCCGCCCAGCTTGAATCACAATGACCAAATTAGCAAAACAAATTATTTTGATGAAAAGGAATAAAGAATTTATAGATTTGATCATTAAAATGGAACAAGAACGTATTAAATATGAGTAAAAAGATAACTACGAAACAGACTTATCAATCTCTCCACACTTGAACGTTGTTTGCCCTTAGGCATTTCATCATCTATTGACACAAGTATGATAAAGGTTGTTTGATTAAATTCTAAAATCTTACTTCCTTGAAATAGTCATTTAATATTATTAGTATTATTTACTTCACACCTTCCTTGATTTTCTAACAATTAATAATTTTATTGCTCTTTCCAAAAAATTTAACAATGAAACTTATTTTAAAATTTGCAAGAGTAACTATCTCTTCCAAAATTCCTTAAGGTCAATAACTAATAACGATTTGTAGTCTTCTTCGTCTACTTATCTCAATTTCTTAAATTATATTTTCTAATAACGATTTGTTATTATTGTTGTTGTTGTTGTATTTTTTTTAAAAGAAAGGCAGAGCTCCAAAGGAGGTAGGACACTCAATTCGACACTTATGCGCGAGCAATTAGCATAATTGCTTGGGTTGTGGGTCTATCCCATTACATATGCATACTTGCTCCCTCGCCTTATGCAATTTACGGGAGAAGTAGAGCTATTTTCAGAGATAGGATTCCCAATTCGTCACTAAAACGCAACCCTTACCATTAGCTTTATTATTTAAATTAATGAGAAAGTGACTAAAAGACTTACAGTCATTAAGTAATTAAAAACCTTAACTTGCTCAACTAAAATCCAACCCATGCAAAATTTTAAATAAATGTTCATTGTTAAATTTAGAAAGGAGTGAGTGATTATTTAATTTCTTAGAGAATAAAAGAAAATATGAAATAAATTAAATACTAAATATATATTAATTGATTATTGATCAAGGAAATAATATTCTAAAATGTAACCATACCTGATATCCAGCTCAGCCTCCTCATACTTAAGCTAAACCTCGCCCTGTGGGATGCGAGTAGATTAATCAAGGTAAGACAATCCTCATCACACTTAGTGTGAAGCATACGATAAGAAGCAAAGTATTCGTGATCACAAAAGGTTAAAAATTTTGGACCAAAATTAGAAATAAAGAGTTATTTTAAATAGAAAATATCTCAAATATTAAAAACATCCTTAATGGGTGCGGAAAGATTGGAGTAGCTTCGTGCAATGGCTTCGTTTGTTTCCCCTACAAAAGAAAAGGAAACAACAAAGAAGAACTTGTGCACAGTGTGTGAAAGTGTTTAGAAGAACTATAGCTAAATTATTATTCCTTATTGTTGTTGTTGTTGTTGTTGTTGTTGTTGTTATTATTATTATTATTATTATTATTATTATTATTATTATTGACGGGTTGCCACCCGTTAAGCACTAATTTAACGTCATTAGCTTGATGCTATTATTCTTTAACTAGGTAAAACAAACATATCTAATGAAGAACTCTCCTTGAGAGTCTCTAGTTTCTTCTGAATTATTGTTGTAAGGTGGCGCAGACCCAAGTACTCGTGAAGCCAAAGAAAAATAAAAATCTCATATAAATATCTAATCAACCCCCGATGTATAAAATATTCCAATATAGGTATGGACTTAGCGGTGTTTAGCTTCACGGGAAGTAGTTCAAAGGGACCCTCATTTGTGGGAAATTCTTAGGCAACTCAAGGTCTCTTTGAATTATTGTTCCTACTGGACTCTCTTCAATATATAAATTCTGATTAAGTTCAATAAAGTCCTCTATGTGATCAATGCCTTCAGCTTTTTGCAAAAAATCAACTTCAACATCGCTCTTATGTTCTCCAATTTTCTCTTCAAGAGACAAACAAATAGGTCTTTTTTGTCTATTCTCTTCTAAATTTAATGGAGAAACAACAGAGCCTTCCTCGGGCATTACTCCCTCCATCCCATTATTGTGAACTTCATAATTTTGAAATGAATCTACTCGAAGAAGAATATTTTTGTCTAGCAAGTCTTTCATTGTTTCTTGGTATTCATCTTCAAAACTAGCCCAAAGCTTTTCTTGTTCGAGATAATATTTGTGTTCATTAAATTTTTCCTATTGAGATGGTTGGCTTAAAGAAGAATTTTGAATTTCTTCTTGAGCTATTTTTGATTCAACAACTTTATTCATCTCATTTTCCTCATTCTCGGATTTATAAACTAATCATTCATTTTGATGAATTTCCCTAGATAATTGGTTAGATTCATTAGGTCTGAATTCTAATAATTTATACAGGTTTCCAATTTACTTAAGAATAGCTTCTTTTTCATTATTGAAATCCTCAAGATTAGAATCAGGATTTAGAGAAGAATAAGAGAAAGTGTAACAAAGATCATCTTCTTCATCTACTAAACCCCTCTTCTTAAGAAATTCATCAAAATCAAAGTTAGTGTATCTCTTTAATTCTATTTGCCCAATTAAATTTCTTATAATGCGATCTATTTCATTTCTTATCGTTTATCATTCTTTCCTAATTGCATAAGAATTATTTGAGCAAATTGAGGAGTAAAGAGAGGAATAATCTTCTTGATAATCATATGAATAATCAAAGTTATTGCAATTATCCTCCTGCTCACGATTATTCTTATTGAAAAATCTAAGAGGGTTATTACAATTATTTTGATAATCATCACAATAATTATTTTGATGATTTGGTAAATGATCAAAGTTATTAAAATTATTAAAATTCTTTCTATGATTCTCATAATCATAAGAACAATAATTATCGTTCATAGGAAAATTGTTGTACCAGTTATTTCCATAACCTTGATCATTACAAAAATTATCTTGGAAATTTTGTGAACAATCGAAATTACCATTATCATTATTTTCCCACCTATTATCATTAAATTGGTAATCATGTTCAATCATAGGCGAATTTTCATAAATTTTATTTTCATAATGATAATTTTCATTGTAATCACGTGAAAAATTATTTTCACAATATGGGTATGGGGGTTGATCATAAAAATGAAAATTATAAAAATGATTACTAAAATAATTTATAAGAAGAAAAACAAAAATAAATTAAAGAAACAATCAACAAGAAATAAAACTAATAAACTAAAAATTTTCCTATGAAATAATATTAAAAAAACTAAATCGTGCCACTCCGCGGCAATGACGCCATTTGACAAAATGCACAGTGGTAAGTCAACTAATAATTGAGTTAGACTCAGGTCGTTCTCTCCAGGATTGACAAAGTGAATAATTAGTTTTAGTATTTATCTCATGCTAATTTATAGTCTAATAGTCTACTAAAAGTGGAAAGAAATTTAAGAGTTTAAATGATTAAAATAACTAAAACAACTTCAGGAGTTAGGATCAGAATTCAGACTCAACAAATTTAACTCATCTTTCATTGGCAATTGGATTAATGAAATAAGTAGCACTTATGTTCAATATATCTCCTATTTTTAGGTCTCAATATAAAACATAAATGCTACTCTCTCTGTCCCAAAAAGTCTTTCTTGTTTACTATTACGGCCTCTCGATAACTCGTATTTGTTTGTGTGTTTTCATTGATTATTTGATAAAATAAAATATTCTTGTCACCTCTTATTTTGTAGAGCTTTCGATGTAGTTTTTAAATATAATGTTTTTATGTGTTATTTCCTTACCAATTTGTAAATAAAATCATTTTAAAATTTATGGGATTTTGCACGTTAATCAAAGTAGGAAATTCTTTTTGGGACGGAGGGAGTAATATTTAATACATCTCCTATTTCTAGGTCTTAGTATTAAATTATAAGATTATTGTATTTCATGTATCTCCTATTTCTAGGTCTCAGTACTATGCTAGAAAATGCTCGGCTTAAATAATTTTAAATCCTCATAGACAAGGCGGGAATTATTTTTTAATTATTTAATTCATAAAATGTTTAGTATTACTCCCTCCGTCCACCTAAGATCTTCGCATTGCGCGTTACCAGGCTTGACCGACCTTATTTTCAATTCAATTAATTTGAATATAGGGGTAAATTTTTAATATAAAATTTATATAGTAATAAACTACATGAAAAGTTCTACAAAATTAGAGGTGACAACACTATATTATTTTATGAAATGAGTAGCAAAAATAAACAAAGTGAATTAACTTTGACCTTGTGAATAGTGTCTGAAAAAATCTATAGTGGACAGAGGGAGTATTAATTAGTTTAAACAATTCCAAACAGTTATTTCTCACCCAGCCTATTTCTAGGTGTTTGGAAAGTCTGGCTTAATTAATCTTATTACCTCATAGACAAGATAAAAGATTAATTTCCCAGAATTAATTATAGTATAAACAATTCTATTAATTAATAAACATTAATTCATTTTCTAACAATTCATACAATTACTAATTAATAGATGAAATTAATTTGGTTAAATCTGAATTCCTAATCCTAACCCATGTAAAATTACCTATTCAAAATTTGAAATAAAACCTTTAACATCGTCATAACAACTCAATAAAGATTACAATTAATAAAATGATCTTTTATTAATAAAAACTCAATAAAGATTACAATTAAAAAGGAATTAAAACTTACCGTGCTCAGGAATAGAAAATTGACTCTTGAGGAAGAATTTAACCAACACAATTTTAATACAATATTTTAGATCAAAAACGAAAAGAATTCCGCCCCTAAAAGGGGGGAAACGCAAAGGAAGAAGCTTGGAGATGAAGTGGAGCCGCGCCGGGTATTTATAGGAGAGGAAGGACACCAGGAGGGAAGACCGGCGATCGCCGGTCAGCCCGCCACTGCTGCTGCCCAAAATTTCCAGAAAACTCGCGTCGCATCAAGTTTTTGCAGCTGCCGTCGATAGGGCTACCCGCCTGCCAACCTGCCGGTGCGTCTCCCTTAAAAAACTCGCCGCTTCTTGCTCGTTACGGCGACCGCTGGCCAGGTCGCCTGCTGTGCCACCTCCCTCCATCGATGCTTCCCTATTTTTTCCTTCTGCACCAACTTCTAATTCCACACCGTTTGTGAGATATTATTATTTTTCTATTAAAAATTAGCTCTTTTTATTCTATTCTTGGCCCAATTTTTTTATATTAATTCAAAAGCATTTTTTATGACCAAATTATCAAAACACATTATTTTGTAAAAAAGAATAATGAATTGATTGATTTGATAATTAAAATGGTACAAAAATGTATTTAATATGAGTAAAAAGATAAATACGAAACGGACTTATTATGTTACACCCCCACTCAAACTAGAGCATGGGGATTTCGCACGCCTAGCTTACACAGTAAATGAGTGAATGGATCAGCACTAAGAGGCTTAGTAAAGATATCAATCTTTGTGTAATTTTCGCATTTGAAGATATTTTGGGATGAAGTAATAAATTCGCAAGGTGTGTTTCTCACACACGCACAAAATATATACTACTATATGTTGTACAACATTTCTATGCAGCAATTCTCAGAACGATTGTTTCTTTCACTTGGATTATTGTAGTGCTGAAGTTTTTATCACAGTTTGGTTCCTATTAGTTGCCATTACAATATCTTACACTTACCTATAGCTTCACCATTTGCCACAGGGAAAAAGAATTATTTATTTGACGAGTGATTTCAACTGACGCAACTTTGCAAGCAAAAAACAAGTAAAAATGCTATATAATTATGATAATGAATAACGTTGATAACGATAATGAGGGCGTCCTGTGAACCAATGTGCAATGGCTAGGAACTCAGAATTGATTTTCATCCTTATTGGCGATTCACCATCTCCACCTTGGGCATTGGATGGGGGAAGCGTGGCATCATCCAGAGTGCAAAAACCGAGTTTTTATGGCTAGAGATTTAAAGCAATTTGACGAGAAACTTAAAGCCCAGCCTTAGGGTTGCCTGCACCTGCTGCCACAACACCCATACCACCACCATCACCATCAACCGTGTCCGTTTCCTGGCATGTTGATTTTGTAATAGCAACATGGTCACCGTTAAGCTCATCCACAAGTTCATCAATTTTCCGGAACTGGTAAGGCCATTTCACATTATACAAGAATTGTCGAAGATCAAATCTGTTGTCCTCCGGTGAGTAACTCTGCATAACACAAGGAGTTTAGACTAGAGGTAGTGTAGGTGGGTGGGTAAACTGAATGTTCAAAACTCAGCTCTAAAGAAGAAGATGAGTGGCACCTCAGCATGATAGGAAGGTGTTAAGACAGTCATTTTGTGTCTATTAATGGAATAGTACTTGAAGAAGTGCTTTACTTTGTCACCCACCTCCTTTGGAGTCAATATTGTACCCCATTTGTAGCAAAGGTTCTACAAGGCCAATTTTTGTGTGATGCAAACACTACAATTTATATAAGATCTAAAACCAATAATATTCCATATGGCGGGTGGCAAACCTTAAACATCGATACAGGCCCACATCGGAAGATCTTACGCATTCTTCCATAGACTGAGAGTTCATCATATGTCATACCCATGTCCACTTCATCCAGCTGTTTCACATAAACAGAGCATTCATACTTTTATGATGTGCACCCAATAACTATGAATCAAGGAGGCAATACAAGGTATATCCAGAACACAGACTGAGAGAATAGAGCGAAACAAAAAAATTATTACCTGACTATAGTTAGACCGTATAGGCTCCAATTCGGCAGTGGGAGGAGCTGCTTCAATTTCTGCCAAGGATGAGTAACCAAGATGAGTGGCTGCCCATCTCAGAAACGTTCGGAGATCCGTCTTGCTGATACTTCCAATTGGGTTTATATCAGCTGAACTACAATCATACTGAAACATGCAAATGGTGATTATAATAATACCGGTATATATCGCTTCCAATATCTATGCGCATGTCACTTTTATAAATTCTATAGATCAACAGCACCGCAGGGGATGATAGAGTGATGCTGATGGTAATCAATAATAATAATAATAACAACAACAACAACAATAATAATAATGCAAACTTTAAAAACAGCACAAAATGCACATCAAACATCCCACACCCTAGCCAAAGAACACCCCTAATGCACCATTTCCTTAGTCCTTACCTTCTCAGAGATTTTGTGGATATCCAGCTATCCTTGAGGCTTGAAGATGTTGCCTCCACTGGCCATTTCTCTACGTGGAAGTTTTAACAAACATCTTTGGGGTAAACTTGACCGCTTCATGGAGATCTATTGACATACCATGTTTTGTAAACTCTTTGGATATGGGGCCGGGGACGGACCACTGTCTGGCATTGATTCCCTTGGAGACTCCTTCTCCTCAAGGCCCAAACTTCTTAATTCTTTTAACATGTGGATTAAACACCCAGAGTTCCCTTCTTTGGTGAAGCAGGATTGTTTGTGTCAGGTGGTGAATGGCACAACCCATTTTACATTTTTTTCAAACCTCAAGTTTCTCAAGTGGCCATTATGGAAACTTAATAGATATGAGTGTGGCCATATTTCTAAGTGTTCCAAATGCGCTAATGAAGCTCCTCTTTATGATGTTCCGAGTAATCCATAGTTTGTAAGGCGGCAAGGCGAGGCGAGGCGCCAATGTACCTTCATATCGCCTAGGCGACTAGGCGCACGCCTAGGCGACATACATACATACATACCTACATATATACACACACACATACATATATATAAGTCTTATACATTTTAAAGAAGCTTGGTCGAGAAAGACAAGACCGAAAGAGAAGATAAGTTTAAGTCTATTAGGCTACCCTAAAAGAAAATGGGATGCACTAAAAAATGGGTTTTTCCAAAATTTTAAAGGGGCTCAAGGTATCAAGGCGGGGTAAGGCGACGCCTAGGCGAGCGCCTAGGCGAGCGCCTTATCGCCTTAAGGTTTTCTAGGCGAGGTGAGCAGTCAAGGCGTCCTAGTGACAGCGCCTTATCGCCTAGGCGACGCCTTACAAACAATGGAGTAATCTCGTCTTATTAAGTTACTCAAACCACAAAGGAAGAAAGCAGACTTACTTGAGGCGGAATATCTTTTCTAAGGACAGAAGACAAATGTGATCATATAATGGAAGCGCACGAATGCACCTGGTACTCATGCGATTGTTAGAAAACGGAGAACCGGGAAGTCTTTCATGTCTTAATAAAGGACAGTAGATCAACTTCTTTCTATGGACGAGGTGGCAGATATTCTTGTTGACTTTTTTAGGAACCTACTTGGTTTCTCCACTGATGTACAGGTCACACAAAATGAAGTGTGGGAGTTAGAACTGCGAGTGGATAGCTCCCTAAAGAGTGATCTTTCCGCACCCATTCTCGCGAAGGAAATTAAAGAGGCACAAATTAATATTGTTGAAGAGAGAGCATCCGGTCCGGATGGATATTCTTCTGCTTTTACATAAAACAATGGACCATTCTTAGAGGTGACCCTGTAAAGGCAGTCCACGAGTACTCGTCTGCTATTTCAAAAAAACAATGGACCATTGTTAAAGATACGTATAAATGCAGTCCATGAGTTCTCTCTTTGGGGAAGCTACTTAAGCAGCTAAACATGCGGTCATTTGTCAGATTCCGAAATACACGCATGATTCTAAAGTTTCTGACTTCAGGCCAATTTCATGCACCACAATATTATTATTACCAAAACCTAAAAGTCTAGAACAATAGGATGGTCCCCCTCCTTGAGATCACTGTTGATCCTGTGCAGGCCACATTTGTCCCGGGAAGGACACTTGTGGATAGTGTTCTTCTTGCCCAAGAATTGGTTCGTGGTAATTCAAGGAAAAGAACTTCACCCTGTTGGCTGCTCAAGCTTGACAATTCTAAAGCTTTTAATTCCATTAAGGGATTTGTTGGGGCTTAATTTCCCTGAGAAATTTGTGACGAAGGCTATGGAGAGTGCAACCTACAAGGTTTCTTTAAAAAGTTCTAGGGGGCTACAATAAGGTGATCACATGTCACCAGACTTTTTATCTTGTGTATAGACTATCTCTCCCGTATTTTGAAGATAAGGACCCCCAATTCGGCTTTCAACTTCCACCCAAATGTGCTAAGTTGGGGATTTCTAACTTCACTTTTGAGAATGACTTGATATTTGTGAGAGCCAAGAGGTGCCTATTTCTAATAAAATTCCCTTAGATGCTTTGAGGGACTTTTTCTTGGAAGGGAGGTTTCCGGTTAAATGCGCCTTGGGGTGCCCTCGTAACCAAGACTGTCACTGTTGTAAAATTTAATCCTCTTTTGAAGACTACTGGTGATTTTATAGCATACTTGGAATGCCAAGTCTTTAACTTATGTGAGCCACATGAAGTTTATTAAGACCGTCATCCAATGGGTCATGTCATTGTGACTATCCTGGGTAGAGGATAACGTCTATGACTCTATGTGCAACACTTTCTTGTAAGGCGGAAATTTGCCCAGGTTGTGTGGGATGATGTTTGTAGGCCTAAACAAAAAGAGGGTTTGGGTATTAAAGACACCAAAATTTGGAATAATGCTTTGCCATCTAAGATTTTGTAGAATGTTCGCTCCAAGGATACATTATGAGTCCCTTGGGTCCATAGGGTCTATTTGAATGGTCGGAGTGTGTGGGCTTCACAACCCTACAAACATGACCCCCAACTATTCAAAAGGCTTTCCCCCATATGATGATATGAAATGACATTTTTGACACATTTGCAAGTGTTGGGGAGTCTATCAATGTGATCGAATCCTTATGTGTGAATAAGAAACTTGAGTCGGGGAAAGTCTATGAATTTATGCACACCAAACGCAAAAGTCTTCCATGGAAGTTGTTCATATGTAAAACTATATTCAACATTTTTTGAGTGGTTAACTTATTGGAAGTCGGAGCCGTCTTCCTACCATGGAAAACCTAGATTTCTTTAATGTCAACAAACAATACCACCTTTGCAACTCTGAATGGGCACTTATTTTTCTCTGGTACAAAAAATGATGGAGTTTGGACATATGTTTGCTCATAGCTTGGATTAAGGCATCAAATGTCCTCCTTAGCTAGAGTGGCTAGGGTCCTTTGTAAAGAGCTAAAGGCACAGGCATCAAATGTACTCATAGCTAAAGCAGCTAGGGTCATCCATAAAGAGCTAGATTGATAGAACTCAAGAGTGGTAGGGAAAATAAATGAAGGATAATATTCATAAAATTGCGAAATCAGCATCTGATGGTGTAAATTATCTTGACCGGAGTATCATTCTTAGCCGGGCAAGAACGATAAACTAGTCTAACAAAATACACCAAATTACAAATGCATGGATTTTAACGTGGAAACCCAATTGGGAGAAAACCACAGGCCTTTTTTGGCGGTACCTTACCGGGGTTTTTTTATTAATATTGAAGATTGGACACAGTACATCATTTGGGCTTATAAGCCATTAATGGAAGCGTACAAGCTTTTTTGAAGAAGGGAAAATCTAAGAGACAGAAAAAGTGTGCAGGAGAGTGGGAGAGGAGACTTTGGCCTCTCCTCACTTGTGAAGATGGTTCTCCTTTTATTGGAGGAACTTGAGCATCTTTTGAGGGAATATTCTCTTATTCCTCAATTTTATTTATCAGGCTTGATGTGAGTGAGCTTCTTAAATAATTGAGAAATCTAGACCACCGGATCAAGTATTATTTCCATCAGCATTTAACTTCATAAAATAATAAAACTAAAATCTTAATCAAAATATGAGCAAGAATCTTAAACTCATATAAGTAATAAAGCCAAGGCGAATCTCCCATAATGAGTATTGAATTAGTTTCTTGATAACTTCTACAAATAATGAGGCTCAATATTTATAGAAAACAAATAACTACCAATCTCTAGAATTTAGGCCCACTACCACATCACCTAGTAACTATTCCTAAACTTTAGGCTCACTACCACATTTCCACATTGCTCACACATTAATTACTACTTAATAACTAACACATATAAAATGATATATTTGACCTATTAAAAAATGATCCTGACTATTATAAATATTAATAACATAAAATAACTGCATACGTGGCACGACACTTTATCATTTTCCCTTCTTTCAAAGTTTGCCTTGTCCTCAAGGAAAAATCTAGACAATAGCTTCTTGGTATATCTAAAGGTTTTGGTAGAGGTGGTAGGAAGAAAATATAATGAAAAGCTCCAATCAAAGTAGTAGTGCTTCGAACAAAAGGGTCCAAATATGGCACAACAACTTTAAGGATAAATTGATGCATGAGGCCACTATCCAAGGTTTCTTGAAGCTTATCAGTGATGATGTAGAATTTTTGAAGATGGTGTTGACACATATATAAGAGTTTTGTAACCCCAATTTGAATGCATTCTCATCAGCACTTAGCATAAGAATCATGCCTCCTTCTATAGCCAATTCTGTAGGTGAGAATGGAGAGGTTTGATAACAACTCAGTTGGATCCCACAATAGTGGGGTCTAGGGATGGTGTGTGTACTCGAAAGTAGGGAGGTTGTTTCTAAGAGAAACCCCCCGCTCAAGTAGCACACATACAATATAATAGCACAGAAGACACATACAAGCAGAGAAAGCACAGATAAAAGACACATACAAAGCATGCAAACACACAACAAAGCAAACAACGTACACAAAAAAAAGGTAGTCGCCTTTAATGTGTAAGCACACAAAACACACAACAAGACAAATAACTACCAATCTCTAGAATTTAGGGCCATCACCTAGTAACTATTCCTAGACTTTAGGCTCACTACGATATTGCTTACACATTATTTACTACTTAGTAACATATATAAAATGATATAATTGACCTATTAAAAAATGATAGTGACTATTATAAATATTAATAACATAAAAAAACTGCATATGTGGCACGACACTCTATCATTATCCCTTCTTGTAAAATTTGCCTAGTCCTCAAGGCAAAATCTAGACAATAGCTTCTCACTATATCTGGAGGATTTGGTAGAGGTGGTAGGAAGACAATACAATGAAAAACTCCAATCAAAGCAGTGGTACTTCGAACAAAAGGGTCCAAATATGACATAACAACTTCAAGGACAAATCGATGCATGGCGCCACTATCCAAGGATTCTTGAAGCTTATCAGTGATGATGTAGAATTTTTGAAGATGGTGTTGACACATATATAAGAGTTTTGTAACCCCAATTTGAATGCATTCCTTTCAGCACTTAGCATAAGAATCATGCCTCCTATAGCCAATTATGTAGGTGAGAATGTTGTCAATAAGTACAATATCGTCGGCAAAAAGCATGCATCCCCTTGGACTCTCCCCATGAAAACATCCATCACCAAAGCGAACAAGAATGGGCTAAAGGCAGGTGTAACCCCACCTCTATGGAGAAAGACTTTGATTCACCCCAACAGTCTTTACCTTAGTCTTAGCCCCGCAGCACATATCCCTGGCTGCACGAGTGTATGCTTTATCAAGGTCAATAAACACCAAATGAAGATCTTTCCTCTTAGTCCTATACTCTTCCATCAACCTTCGTTGAAGGTGAATGGCCTCTGTGGTCAATCTGCTAGGCATGAAACCAAACTGGTTTTCTGAAACACACACCTCTTTCTGCAGCCTAAATTCAATGACAAGCTCCCAAACCTTCATTGTGTGGCTAAATAATTTGATGCCCATGTAATTCTCACAACTCTGAATGTCACCCTTACCCTTAAAAAGAGGGACCAACACACTCCCTCCACTCGTCATGCATCTTAGTCGTCTTGAAAATAACATTAAATAGATTGGTTATCCAAATCAACCCTCTGTGGCCCACACACTTCTAAAACACCACTTGAATCTCATCCGGCCCCAAGGATCTCCCACTTCTCATCCTGCGGATGGGCTCAAGCGACCTCCTCCTTACTAAAGCACCGACAATACCCAAAGTCCCTAGTTCTTGCATCGAATCTCCTCCCGCATTCAAGAGGCCATGGAAGTACTCCACCCGACGTTTGGCCACCTCACTCGTCCTCGACAACGCTCTACCAATATTAATCATTCCTTCATATTGGAACAACCAAGATTTGGATTGTCATTGCCAATTTCCATCCATGAGAGATGTTCTAGTCAAGATTGTGGAGGGGCACTGTGAAGACAACATGATTGCATTCATTGCCACGTGCCGACTTAGAGTTGCAATTGAAATTCCCTTTTCATCATGTAGAAAATTGCGTGTTAGATGTAAGGAATTGAAGCGGCTGGCTGCAATGGTAGGGTGTTTGGCTTACGAACAAATGTAACCCTACCCTTCGGTTTTTGAATTTTCTTTCCTTTCACCTCTAGATGGAAGTTACTAGAAGTGATTCTTTTGCAGGGTGTCACAAAATTAAGAGTTAGTTGATGCTGCCTGTTTGGAATTAATGAAATCAAGGCGAGCAAATAACTGTTGAATGAGAAACTATATGGAGAAAATGGACAAACTGAATTTTTGCAGAAGGAACACATAAATATCGTATGTCTCTTATACCAAACGATTGGACTCAAGAGTGCCAAGGAATATAAATGAAGGATAGTTTTTATTAAAGTATGAAATCAGCATCTAACTTCATAAAATAAATTAAAGTAAAATCTTTATAAAAATATGAGCAAAAATCTTAAACTCATATAATTAATAAAGCCAAAGAGAATCTCCAACAATGAGTATTGAACTAGTTTCTGGATAACTTTTACAAATAATGAGGCTCAATATTTATAAAAGCCAAATAACTATCAATTCCTAGAATTTAGGCCCACTACCACTTTACCTAGTAACTATTCCTAGACTTTAGGCTCATTACTACATTACTTAGCAACTACTCCTAGAAGTTAGGCCCACTTACACATTAGTTACTACTTACTAACTAACATATATAAAATAATATATCTGACACGTTACACAAATGACCTTTAACTGACTCTATTATGAATATTAATAACATGAAATAACTACATATAGAGACCTGCTTTTGAAGCAACAATTTATGTCCTATGGAACAATTAGAGCTACTCTGATGGTGCTATTGCTATGTTTTGCGCAGACGTTATCCTTCAAGTCTGATCACATTTTGAGTGTTGGCCTACATGTAGGAGTTAGGACTGTAAGGGTGGGGTTGGGATGATCCCAATCCCAATTAATCTGAATCCCATCCCGATCCGATTAGAGAATAAAAATGATCCTGAATCCCAACAGAATCAAGTCTGGACCCCATCAAAAAAATCTCAATTATATCTGGACCCCGATCAGTCACAACAACCGATAAATACCAACAATGTATATTAGCTGGGTATGCTTCTCCTATACTTGCACATCTTGCTTTTGGGTTCTCAATATTTATAAATTGTCCCAGAAAAATAAGTGCAAAATTAATGAATAGATCAATAAATAATTAAATAAATAGATAGATAGATAAATAAATAAAGACCGTTGGCTGACCTTTGTTAGATACCCGCGCAATGCTTCATCCACATTGGAGCTACCCAATACCAAATAAAAACCGGGTTTATTGTGAACCCATGGCAAAAGTGATGCTAGCATGAATGCTAGGACCATTCTAACTCGAGCTTGAATATTTTGTAGCCCCAAGTTCTCAATGGTTGATCCACCGTCTACCTAGAACATAAGGATCAATAATTCATCAATATCAATCAAATCAATGCACTAAAATATAATTGTGATTAAGATGTCTTTTACTTATACACGATAAACAAAGTGAAATGACAATGATACTACCTTATAGCGTGGGCGCTTCCCCGTAAGTGTTTGAAACAAAGAGATCATAGATGAAACTACCCCATCAATGTTAATATTTAGATGCCATGATCCAACTTCATCTGCCAGAAGCTTTGCCCGATATTTGGTGGCTTCAGAACTAATTTTAAACATTACATGCAACCACCAATATGCAGACTGTTTAAAGAATGAATTCTAAATTTAAATCTAAAAAAACAGAAGACGAGAGAATATTGGATAACTTTGCTTTCAGGTTCATGTGTACACTACAAAAAAAACTTAATTCATCAGGTCGTTTTTGGCTTATATTTTATTAGTAATCAGAATCATGTGGCTCTAGATGATTAGGCATATATATACACACACACACACATACATAAATGAAAGATTATATACAATTATTCAATTTCAGATGGTTGTCCCATACAATCTGAGGGGATGTAAAATTTTAGATTGTTTTGTACACTTTACCACCTTCTCCGCCCAGATTTCTCCCAGATATGTATATTTGGACCGCTGGCAACTTCACCCAGAAATCTGTCATACTGTTGGAAGATTCCAGGGCAGGAGGCTGCCACCATCTCATGCTCACCCGGTTTACTCTGTATCAAATCAAACCTAAAATCTTTTCATTGTAACTTCGGTTCTTGACATTGCCTATTAATAGACAGCTGAACAGCACAGACTGGTGATAAGATAGAGGGAGAGGTTGATGTTGAATGGATAAAGAAATGGGAAGGCCTTAAAGAGCATGGACTGTGTGATTTTTAACTCTAACTAAGATAAACATTCCATATTGAAGGTGGTAAAGTGTACCAAATATTTCAAATTTGTGAGGGGCTCTCTGTGCCACTTCCTAGTTAGTATTCAAGTGTACTTGTTTAAAAGACAAGCTTTAACCACAAATAGAAAGGAGAGTTTTAAAGGTACCAAAATACTAGTCTTAAAAACATACCTATTTTCAGACCCCATAAAAACAGTATAAAATATACGTCTAGCAAATTCTTTGCTATCTACTGGGAGCTGTCCATCAGTGTAATGGCCAATTCGCATAGCATCAGCTTTGACTTGTTCATCCCCATTTGCAATTTCTGCATCTCGTAAGCATTTCTCAAATTAATTATTACTACCAAACCACATGACATGCAATTCTATGTTAATTAGATGGAACGTGGTACGATCTCAAAATGAAGCTTTTAGAAAGAGAAACAATAAAGGAAAAGAACTATCTACTAAACTCACTTAATAACAAGAATCTTGTTCTATGCAATTTGTTATGGACCAAAGAGATCCCCTGAGATAAATGAAGAACCACTTTCTTGCTTGTGGCTAAAAGAAGAACTTGAGATCCTATAGTCTGTGACTACTTAGGAAAATTTGTTGAATTGCTTCAACGATATCTTTATTGATACTTGATAGAGTTCTCTAATGTAAATAGGCAAAGCCCTTACTATAATTCTACCATAACACAACTTACGAAACAAAAATCCTTACAAAGAATATTGACTAAAATAGAATAAGACTACTAATAGGAAACAAATACTCTCCTCGTCCCTAAATAGATTTCACTCTTCGAACAACGTGCAAAACCCCATGTTTTTAATTTTTTTTATCATGGCTCATCCGGAAACAACAGCTTTATGTTTTAAACATAGGGGTTAGACTCCGTACATCCGACCCCCTTACCCTGCAATGGTCGGGAGCCTTTGAGGCAATGGGACAATGTTGTTGTATTTATGTACAAATAGGTATAGAAATAAAAAATAAAACATACATATTTAAAAACAACATCAAAAGCTCTACAAAAAAGAGGTTATAACAATATTTTAATTGCATCAAATGATCAACGAAAACATGGGAATAAACAAAATTGCAATCTATTTAACGAAGGAGTAATAGTAATAAAAATAATAATAGTGGTGGCAGTTGTTGTTGTGATGGTGGTGATAACAATAACCCAACGGTTCTTTTGACCCTCAAACCGAGGGTCATATTTTGAGACGGGCACCTACGGTGCTCAGTGCTCAGTTGGTAAAATTGATGGTTCCTACCCCCTAACCCCCTGTTGGGGTGCGGGGGGGGGGGGGGGGGGGGGGGGGGGGGGTTGGAGGGTAGGAACCACCAATTTTACCAATAGAGCATCGTAGATTATTGTGACAAAATATGACCCTCAGTTTGAGGGTCCAAGATCCTTGCCATAATAATAATAATCATAGTTCGAAAAACCAGACCTAACTCGCCAATTCGGACCGTAAACTGGAAAACCGGTGATCTAACTAGTCCAGTACAGTACATTAGACCGCAATCTGCTTTAAACCGGTCTGAACCCGTGTGAAACGGTAAAAACCGGCCAGTCAGATCAGTTTTTTTGGCGGATTAGTTGTCAGATTTATACTCCATGGGGGTTCGAACACCTAATCTTATAGGCACTAGGTACGATGTTTATTGTTACATTTAGCTTAATATATGTTTTTAAATATTCAATAGTTAAAAATTAAGATTCTAAAGAATTTTGTATTGGTTTTTAAAAACTTTAAACAATATAATGCTATAGCTATTATTCAAACTCAAAACCATTGATATAATCAATACTATTACCAAGTGCATATCACGCAATATTTCATTTCAGTCTTTTTAATGTTGGGTAACTTACTTGAAAAAATAAAATCACTTCTTATTTTATAAACTTTTTAATATTGTTTTTAAATATGTGAATTTTATTTTTTAATTTAGTCACATAACTCAAGTAAATTAAATTGATAATAATTTTAGTCAACTGTCATAAACTGTTTACCTCGAGTATTTATATTTTTATTAGTTATATATAGTTTTTTCACACACACATAGGTTTACATGCATACATACATATACATACATACATATATATATATATATATATATATATATATATATGAGTGTGTGTTTGTGTGTATATATAGATATATGTGTTTGTTCATGTGTGTGTTTGAACCACTGGTTCAACCAGTAAACCAGAACCTTGACCGGTTTGGTCTCCGGTCCGATTTTTAAAAATGTGATCCTAATAATAATAAAGGTAATTATTATTATTATTATAACAACAATTATAAGGGGGTGATTCCCATAGCAATGTCATGGGATGACCCGGGGGCGTATGATTCTCCGTTCGTAGAATTAATGGTTCCTGCCCCTCCTAACCCCCGAGTAAACCCCTTCACCCCGCCCCACCCCTTTCAATTGCATCCCCCAAGTTTAATTGGCTTTGGAGTAAAAATTTTGACTCCAAAGTCAATTAAACATGGGGGATGCAATTGAATAGGGAGGGGGGGTTTACCGGGGGGAGGAGGGTAGAAGGGATAGAAACCGTCAATTTTACGTACGGGGCATCGTATGGTCCCCGGGTCATCCCATGACATTGCTTAGCAATGTCAAGAGAACCGGGGTGCAATAATAATACTAATAACAACAATGCACAATTGCCCCCTATCTTACTTTTCCCTTTTTGATGTTATCATTTGGTCTTCCCCACTTCTGGCATTCGGAGTATTCTGAACCAGTTGTATGAACTTTAAAATGAAAGCTAGGGTGGGGTGCATGGGGGTGGGAGTTATGGGGAGGGGGTAGGGGGTTAGAAACCATCAACTTTACCAACGGAGTACCCTAGGTGCTTGTGAATGACTCTCGGTTTGAGGGTTAAAATAATAATAATACTCATTATTATTATTATTAGTATAACAACAACAATAATAATACTAATAACAACAACATTACACAATTGTCCTCTATTTTATTTTTTTTTCCTTTTTGATGAAATCATTTTGTCTACCCTACTTCTGGAGTCCAAGTATTTTGAACCAATTGTATGAATTTTCAAATGATACACATAGATAAGCAGATATTCCTACCTCAAAGTTAAATTATCCTTTTGCTTTTTGTGACAGACACAAAGTTTTGATTTCATTTTAAAAACGAAACATGTGGCTCAAATTAAATCTCTTTTGCAAAGATCACATCTACACTATTTCACCTTCCTAAAATTTCGTGCAAAAATAGATGGAGCTCTAATTTGGGAGTATAGTTTGTATGAGGGTATTTATGTTATTTCATACCTCAGAATAGTTTCTCTATCATTGAGGCATGTGAGCCTCTTACAAAATTTGATGTGGTCTATGAAGATAATTTCATTATCACGGGGTATGTTGCGCCTATTCAATAATTCAAAGGGGGTGCAACGCATTTTTCCCTAGAATTCAATACTAGTTAAAGGTTGGCAGTCTCAGACCAGAAAAAGGCAATCTCTTCAGTCATACTATGTATGAGTTAAGGGTGGAGCGATCATACCATAGCTTTTGAAAAAACTCCAGTAATAGCCTGTGGGTCTTCGAAATTCCCGAATCTCCATCACAGTAGTAGGGGGGTGGCCACTCCTTTACTGCACTAATTTTTCATAAGCTGTTTCTACCCCTTGAGCTGAATTACAGTGGCCCAGAAACAACACCCAAATTTGTCCAAACGAACATTTCATATGATATGCATAATGGTATGTTTGGAAACTTGTCAAATCCGGATTTGATCAAAATTACTTGTTTGGGAATTCAAAGAATTTGGATTTAGAATTGGACCAAATTCTTCTAATACAAAACAAACTCAAATACAAATGAGTTATGCTGCATGCACACCACTTTACACACCACTTTGCACATCACCACTCTTCCCACCACACATTTCTTAACCGCTCTCTTTTTTCATCCACACCAAAAAACGTGTGGTAGAGGGAGGAGTCGTGTGCAAACTGGTGTGCTTCCCTTATGCAAGAGCAGTTCCATGCATATAAACCCGCTTCTGTCTCCGTCTTTTCCGAATTCAAAATTCAAATTCTAGAATTGAAATTCTATGGTTTTCCAAAAAACATTTGGAATTTGAAATCATGGGATTTCAACAATTGGAATTGAAATTTGAGATTTCAAATGAATTCTAGTTCCCAAAAATTACCTAAGGGAATGTTGTTGCAGTGCCAGAAACACTTCTCTGAGGTGGTTTTTATGATGTTCCAGCGTAGGAATGAATACCAAGATGCCGTAAAAGAAAACTAGTACAAATTTCCTCAAGAAAGGCATTTGTCAACAAGGTAGTCAAACTCACGAGTTGACTCGTACGAGTCTACGATTTTGAGGATCGGCGGTAGCTTACCGATCTGAGACGGCTGCAGAATCGCGAAATCCATGGAATTGTTCGGATCGACGATTCGGCTCGTGGAAACGCAGGATCGGGTACAATCGCCGAGTCTGAGAAGTCCAAATAGCGTCTCTTCAAAATCTCCTTCCAATCGCTTCTGGAACTACAATTGGAAAGTCGCGTCTGTTGCGACTCCCAATTTGGATTGAAAAGCAGCGTAAATACTAAATAGATTCCCAATTTGAATAGGAAAGCAGCATATCAGACGTATGACGTATCTTCTTCTATTTATTTGGGAATCGAGACTTCTCTGCGTATCAGCCTTCCTTCTTTTTTTTCTCCAGCGACATTTTTTTTCTCCTGCGAATCCTCTGTGTCTGTCGCCGGCTTCTTCTTTCTGCCTCTACTCTCTTACAATGTCAATCCCTACTTCAGCCACTCCATTTAGTAGACCAATTGCAAAAAATGCTCCTGGGCAGAAAACAGATGTTGCTTGGGAACATTGCAAAGCAATTGATTCTAGCAATAGAAAGCTACAATGTAATTATTGTAGCAAAGTCATAACCGGGGGGGTGTTCCGTATGAAGCATCACTTAGCAGGGACACAAAAGGATGTGGGTGCTTGCAAAAGTGTTTCTGATAAGTTGAGGCAAGAAATGTGGGACATTGTAGTTACCTCTAAAGAGAAAAGGCGAAAAGAGGATGAAGACGATGATGATGATTGTGAAAATGTTGGTTTCAAAAGAAAAATCAA